GAGAGCAACAACAGCCTGACCCTTGTAAAGTTCCTATTATCTTTCCGATGATTTCATCATTTAATTAGGGATTGTAGACTAGTTCTGGCTTTTCTCCCACATTCATTACATGGAGTTTTTTTTTTGTCAAGAAAGTCAGCCAGGGCTAGATGATTGTTTGAAACCCTGTGTGTTCAGGACCTCCAGGAATGCTGTTTTTCTGATCTTTCCAGTCTAAGGCATCCCCCCAAGGGCCACAGATGGGTTCTCTTTTAGTGACATTTTGAGCTCAGAGCTGTGTATCTGGGGTGTTCTGGTCCATTGCTGTCATTCATTTTGATGCTTAGATGGTCCCATCCTCATCTAGCAGGAGCTCCTGTGTCTCTTGAGGCCCTCACACAACCTGTTTAGTTTTTCTTAGTCTGCTGGCATTTAGACCCAGATTGGCTGCTCCTCTAGGGAGTGAACCCTGGGGACTTCTGCCGGTAAAGTGGCATTTTGAGCGTGCTATGTGGGCGCTGCTCTGTTCATTGCTTTGGGCCTTTTAGTGAACAGAACTAAGAAAAAACATGTTTTTGAAATAACAGCAACAACAAAACCCCATAATTTTACACTAATATTTCTAATTCAAATTTAACCTTATATATAGGGTTTTTACTTCTTTCATTTTAAACATGTGTCTTTTCTGTTACTATGAATATCTTGGTTTCTAATATTATTAGCATACTTGCTTGCTTTACTTTGAAATCGTTTCAGAATAAACAGTTTATATTACCCCTGATAACAAAAGCTAGACTAAAATTTTAAGATTACCTTGAAGTTCTAATTGCCCTTAAAATGTATCCCTTTTATTGAGAATGTTTTGCTCTTTGTTTCATTTTTTTAAAAAGCTTCTCAAAAGATTTCTTTTCCCTATATGACTCTGCCACCAACTTAATATTCAGCTCATTTGTTTTAGTTTATTTGGAATGTTTAGGAATTGTACCTTTTTCTTTTGATTTGCTATACTTTTCATTTTAGAAAAATATTTCAGGTTGGCTACAGTGACTCACACCTGTAATCCCAGCACTTTTGGAGGTTGAGGACTGAGCAAAAGACAAGCCTGGCCAACATGGCAAAACCGTGTCTCTACAAAAAATACAAAAAATTGGCCAGTCACAGTGACTCACGCCTGTAATCCCAGCACTTTGGGAGGCCAAGGTGGGCGGATCAGAATGTCAGGAGATCGAGACCATCCTGGCTAACTCGGTGAAACCCCTGTCTCTACTAAAAAATACAAAAAATTAGCTGGGCGTGGTGGCGGGCGCCTGTAGTCCCAGCTGCTTGGGAGGCTGAGACAGGAGAATAACTTGCACCTGGGAGGCGGAGCTTGCAGTGAGCTGAGATCGTGCCACTGCACTCCAGCCTGGGCCACAGAGTGAGACTCTGTCTCAAAAAAAAAAATAAGCTGGGTGTGGTGGCGCTTGCATGTGGTCCCAGCTGCTCAGGAGACTGAGGTGGGAAGGCTCACTTGAGCCCATGAGGTTGAAACGGCAGTGAGCTGTGATCGCACCACTGCACTGCACTCCAGCCTGGGCAACAGAGTGAGACCCCATCTCAAATATATATATATATATATATTTTTTTTTTTTTTGGAGAAATAAAATTTACTGAGTTGCCCCTGAACTCCTGGCGCAAGCAGTCCTCCTACTTTACTTTATCCTTCCAAGTAGCTGGGATTACAGGATTGTGCCATTGTGCCTGGCTTTGATTTGCTTTTTTTGTTTGTTTTGAGACAGAGTTTTCGCTCTTGTTGCCCAGGCTGGAGTGCAGTGGTGTGATCTCGGCTCACTGCAACCTCTGCCTCCTGGGTTCAAGCAATTCTGCCTCAGCCTCCCAAGTAGCTGGAATTACAGGCATACACCACCATGCCTGGCTAATTTTTTTTGTATTTTTAGTAGAGCTAGAGTTTCACCTTGTTGGCCAAGCTGGTCTTGAACTCCTGTCCTCAGGTGATCCTCCTATCTTGGCCTCCAAAAGTACTGGGATTACAGGTGTGAGCCACCGTGCCTGACCTGATTTGGCTTTATTTTCTCAATAGTAAAAGATTTATGTGCTTCTGAAGTGAAAACCCATAACACCGTGGGTTTAGAGAGGGCACATTTCCAGCCCAGTTCCTGATACTTGCTGGTTTGTCGGTTTTCTATTTTGGTGTGTCTTTCCAGTGTTTCTCATGGCAGATTTAAGCAAATATGTGTGTTTGGGTTCCCTAGGTCTTATATAAAAGGTGTATGTCATGCAGTGTATGTGGCATGGAGCGTGTGTTTCTCTCCTTTCTTCTTCCTTGTGTTCACTCCACAATGTGTTGTGAGGCACTTGTGCAAGATTTCCACATGTCAAGCAAATGTGGAAATTCTATGAAGCTTTTAACTTTTTGAGGTGAGGTCTCACTCTGTCGCCCAAGCTGGAGTATAGTGGAGTGTTCACAGTTCATTGCAGCATTGATCTCTCAGGCTAATGCCTCAGCCTCCCACTCTGGGACCACTGGCATGTGCCACCACACCAGGGTAATGTTTGTTTGCTTGTTTGTTTGTTCGTTTTGTAGAGATGGTGTCTTACTACGTTGCCCAGGCTGGTCTTAAACTCCTGGCCTCAAGGGACCCTCCTGCCTTGACTTTCCAAAATGTTGGAATAATAGATGTGAGCCTCCACGATTGGCCTCTATGGAGCTTTTTAACGTTTCTATTTTCTTATCTGTAAACTGGATGTGTTAGTAGTACCTGCCTCTGGGTGGTTGGGAGAAATCAAGGCGATAATGCATGTGAATTGTTAACTCCGGTGCCTGGCGCCATAAAGTGCCAAGTGCTAGCTGTTACTGTCATGATGTTCATTGTTTATGGTTTGTAATACTCAGCCTCAGGTGCAACTGGACACTCACTTATATTTTGATAGCCAGCAGGGGAGCTGGAGCAGATCGAGTGAAGATAAGGGAGGTTCCTGACTCTTTAGCCCTTTTTTCTGCAGCAGCTCTAGGGGAGTTGGTGTGCTTTGGAGCAGAAAGGGGCGTAATAATCTGTCCATCTGGATGGGGTTGGGGGTGGATGGTGAGGAGTCAGGAGTGAAAGAACCCAGCCAGGGGGATCAGAGGCACAGTTTTGGATCCAGGCCTTTCTCTCCCGGAAAGGAGCTGTTGTGGCTGACCTATTGCGTTCGCCCCTGGATATTCCTAGATAAACCCGTGTTTGGGGGAATGTGGGAAATATCATCGCCCACAAGAAAGCTCCTTGGCTGGCAGTGTGACAGCTTCCTGTGCTTGTTTCTCACATCAGGCATCCCCTCCCTCCGCACTCCCCACTAAGCCTCCTCATGCTGGTCTGGTAGTGGAACTGGAGCAGGTTGCAGTGGCTGCCCCCTGCTGTGGGTCAGGAGTGGTGCTGGGCTCTGCAGAGTGACGATGCCTGCCCCCTGCATTCCAGGGGCTGGGCTGGCAGTGGGTCTTGCTCAGCCCTGGTTTTATGCAGAAGGGCTTTGGGGACATGGTCCTGAGCCTTGTTTAAGTGTCTTATGTCTAAGTAGAAGTATCTTGTTGCTTTTGAAACCTACTTCCCCTTGTTTTACTGTTTATGGATGTGGAGAAAACAAATTCATTTGAAGTATTGCAGACCTAAGAAATAGTCCAGGGCCTTAGGAGCTGTGAGATGTCGACCTGGCTGGCCCCGAGGCCCTTCTCCCCTCATACCTGGCCACCTCGCTTCTGTTCCTGAGTGTCCTCAGGTTCCCACACCTCCATTGCCCCCATCTCATACCACTGTCCTTCAGGGACTGACTGCCTGCGGGCCACATTCACATGCACATCAGCTTTCCTGTCAGGAATAATGGGGACAGCCGGAACCTCCTTGGTGCCCCCTTGTTCTGGCCAGGCCTCGCTGCTTATCCCAGCTTCTCCTCTCTCCTGGGCCTTTCCTCTTCATGTTGTCCTGTGCTAATTTCCCCAAGCCGAAAAAAAGAAATAGGGTAGAGTTTGGAAATAGATGTGGGATGATAAAGATTTCGGAAGTGTCTTTATGTTTTTACCCTCACCTGAGACCACTTTTCATCATCCTTCCCTCTGCCCTGCCATCTTATGAGTGTAGTGGATGAACTCTTAGTGTCACAGTGACTCAGGAGGAAGGTTGGGTGAGCAGGGCAGGGAGCCGGGGCTTTGCCCCTTCCAGGCTTCCCTGCCAGAAGGATGGGCACTTCAGCAGAGGGCAAGGATGCTTCTCTGAAATAAGACTTTACCTCAGACATCCCTGTATTGACCACAAGACCAACTCACAGCAGTGATTTCCCTGAAACACCTGCGAGTGAGTGTCCTTGGGGCCAAAGAGGACAATGGGTGGGAGGCAGGCCCTGCCAGGCAATCCCAGAAACACAGCAGCCTGCACATAGCGGGCCTTAGCAGCCAGCGGCCTTCACCTCACCTGAGAGTGGGCTTCACCCTCTCCCTTGCCCTTGCATAAATGCGGATGAACATAGATTCTCCCGGAAAGCACAGCCAGGGGAGTGCCATCCAGATTTGCAGCAGGTACTGCGTCATCAGTGAAAAGGCAGCAACAGGCTGGGCTGAGAAATGAAAGCCCTTCCGTACACATAGTGCAAAGACACAGCGGCCCACCCACGGCTGCCTCTGACAGGCCTTGTGCCCTCAGGCTAGTGCCTCATCCCCCCAACCTGCCTGTCCCCTTTGTGACAAAAAGACGGCACTCAAGATGGCTCACAGCTCTCTCAGCTGAGTGCCTTTCCATCAGGGGAGAGGAGTGGCCGTTGGAGGCTCTCTGTCCCCTTCTTGTTTCTTTGTGCCTGTTATTGGCCCGCCTAGCTAAGCACTGACGGCTCCCTTCCGAGAGGCGGATTCCAGAAGAGGCTGAGTGTCTGAGTCTGCCTTGCAGAATGGGCTTCGGGCTTCAGCTCGGCGCCAGCAGGCGAGGGGGCGGGAAGGGGGAGTCCGATGACTGCGCTTCTTCATTTGGGATTAAACTGCTTCCTGTTTTTACTTTTAGGATGAATACCTTTCTCTCGTGGCCAGGCTCATTATCCATTTTCGAGACATTCGTAAGTAAGATTTCACATTTCTGGGTTGTTGAGATCTCTGTGAGAGGCCAGCCCTGACGCTGCCTCAGCAGAGCTTTCTGGGCAGGCCGTGGTGCCTGAGTCAGAAGGTCTGTGTCACCTCACTTCCTTTTGGGAAGTTCTTCACTGCCTTGCATTTGATTCCAGATCCCCCATCCTCCCAGAGCCTTGGCCTCAAAAATGCTGATTCTAGCATCATGGAAATGCTGTCCTCAAAGTGGTCTAAACGGGGTTGCTGTTTCACTGCTCACTTAATCTCCCTTTTCCTAGGGCTGTTGTTTTTACTTCTGGGAAGTTCTGTTTACCCTGGAACAGAAACTCTTCTTCCCTAAAAGTTGATTTTATTGACCCATGGAGGCCAGAGACACTTAGGCATATGTTCCCTCTAGACTGGAAGCTTCTGAGGAGGACCTCCTGAGTCTGCACCCTGGCTCCCTGCTGTGTTGAGGGCCCCCGTGTTTACCTCACGTTGTGCCTCCTCTGATTCAGAGGGCCCAGTGTGGTTCTATCAACCAGGCAGTGGCCCCAGCTCTGCAGAAGTGAGTTGTCATTACATCCTAGGGCCCGGGTCTTGGTGCTTGTGTGTGTTACTTGGAAGTATGTGGACACCAAGTGTTCCTGGATGGCCACAGCCTGTGAAGGAAACTGGGGCCAGCAGCTGCTCTGTGTTTTCAGCCAACGATGGCTCCTGCCCACTGCCGCTGCGTAACCACCAGAGGCAGGCTTCTCTTGACATAGGCCTGTCCTTGGAGCACGTGTTTGGCGAGTCCTATTGCTATTCCCCTGTGGGTTAGGGACAGGCAGCTGTACCTTCAGTGTCTGTTGTTAGGGCAAAGGGAGACACTGAGCACCCCAGAGCCTGGTAGATTTTGCTTCTTTCCATACTAACTTTTTACCAGAATGGCCAGCAAGGTGAACTTCACTTTCTCTGTGGTGTTGGGAAGGTGCTGGGATGTGTAAGAGGAGAAGGAATAGCCCAGATGATCTGGCCCAGATGCGCTGGCAGACTCCCCATGTTCTGCTTTCAGGGACAGTGTCCCACCTGGTGCACACAGTCCTGTGGGGCTTATGGGGTCATGGGGAGCAGCCAAGCAGGAGGCTCAGGGCCCCATGGCTGCTACAGAAGTTCTCCACTGGGCACTGGGTTCAGCTGGACTGGCTTCCAGCTGGCTGTGGACAGCCTCAGTTTCCTCATCTAGGTAACAGAGACACTGCCTCACCAGAGCAGACTGCAAAGGGAGGCAGTGTCAAGTCTCAGCACCACTCCAGCCCTGCCGTGGGTTCCTGTAGTGTTCTTGTTACTTGTTTTCTTAGGGCTGAGCTGAGACTCTGGACCTGAAAAAAAGGAAAGCCAGAGTAGGCCCAGAGTCCCCAACCCCAGAGTGCTTCAGCCTTGGGGGCAGCTCCCTAAGGCCCCAAGTTGACCCTGGAGCTACTCTGCACCCTCTGCTCCCAGGTCCCTTGTGGGGTCAGCACTGCCAAGAGTGGAAACACTTCCCCTGGTAGCGGGCAGTACTAGGAGCTCCGTGGGGATTGAGGCTTGGGCAGATGCCTACAGAACTGACCTACCCATGGAAATATGTGGTTATATAAAACTTTGTTTACTTTGGTTTTTTTCGTTTGTGTTTTCATATAGATAACAAGAAATCTCAAGCTTCCGTCAGTGGTAAGAGTTTTCCCTTTTGAGTTAAAGTTTCTCCCAACTTTGGATTTGAGGTGACAAGAATGACATAGTGCATGCCTCATGTGCCTGGGTTAACCTGTCACTAGAGGAGAATACTTGCGGAGAGAGCTGTGGAGGGAGGAGGCTGACCAGCTGTGCCCCGACCTCTCCAGCCTTCGTCTTCCTGCAGACTGTGAAGTCACATGATCCTCCCCATCCCGTTTCATACAAATGCTGCCTTTGCCCAGCAAAAAGATAAACACTCACAAAGCTATTAAGACATTATCCAAAAGTGCTGAGCTCTCTTGTAGAGAATTATTATGCTGTTTTCAGTGTAATAATATGTAGCAGCATTTCTGAGAAAATGCTGTGAATTCACTTTTTTAAGTTACAAAGTTTCTTTGTAAATTTAGAAATCTGGCTGGGTGCTGTGGCTCATGCCTGTAATCCCAACACTTTGGGAGGCTGAGGCAGGCAGATCACTTGAGGTCAGGAGTTCGAGACCAGCCAGGCCAACATGGTAAAACTCCATCTCTACTAAAAATACAAAAATTAGCCGGGTGTGGTGGCACGCATTGTAGTCCCAACTACTCGGGAGGCTGAGGCATGAGAATCGCTTGAACCTGGGAGGCGGAGGTTGTAGTGAGCTGACATTGTACCGCTGCGCTCCAACCGGGGTGACAGAGTGAGACTCCATCTCAAAAAAAAAAAAAAAAAAGTTTAGAAATCCATATTTTTAAATTTCAAGGTTTATCACATAAGGGGAATTCTGTCAACTCAGCCTTGGTCTCTGCTGACTAAGCTATGAGGGAAGGGGTTTAACAGATCCAGGCTGGCCAACTGCATTCTGCCATTGGGAAGGGAGTGCACTGGCCTTACAGGCTGCACACCACGGTCTGCCCTGCCCTAGACAGTAGAGCTGTACATGCCAGCTGTCTCTGCCCGTGTGGGTCTCACCTCTTAGCCAGGACAGGGATTCTTGGCCAGCTGGGCTGAGCAGCAGCAAGGGCATGTGGCCAGAACATCTGGGCCCCTTGGCATTGGAACATGGGGTCCTGGGCACCACCCAGTTGTGTGACATGGTGGTCCTGCCAGGCCATATCTGTCTGTGGGTAGCTGTTTGCTATTAAGTCCACACTGTTGTGACAATGGCATCCTTGTCCTTTGTTGTGGCATTGCTCACTGAGCTGCTGACCTGGTGGGCTTGGCACATTTCTCCTCGGTGCTCTGTGGAGCCCTCCTCTGCACCCCTCAGCTGTTCTGGCATGGTGGCCCTGCACACAGGGGCCCAGGCTGAGTTGGACTGTGCAACAGTAGGAGTGGAGCTCTGTGTGCCTGTGGACTTGTGCCCTCCCTGGGAGAGCATCCCCTGGCCACTGTGTTTCTGCTTGCTCAGAAGGGCCCATCGTGCTTTGTGTGCTCACCCAGCAGGAGGGCTGGACAGCCAGGAGAGGTGGGGGTAGCCACCTGCCCTCAAGGCCTCAGCCCATCTTTAGTGCACCTGCAGACATCAGAGAGGTCATTTGTCCCTTAACATTAGGACCCTGGACCAGGCCAGGCTAGAGGTATGGGTCGTGCAATGACCAACACACCTGGCATCCTACCCACTCATATTTGGGAGTCTCCAGGAGCCTAGTCTCTTACTGCTTGGGGCTGTGAGGGGATTGAGCCTGTAGGTAGGAGAGATCTGTGCTCTGTGAGCCTCACGCCATTTGAGCCATGGTCAGTCCGTTAGTCCCTTTCCTGAGAAGCTCTGCCCTTGTGTTCCCACAGATCCTATGAATGCACTCCAGAGCCTGACTGGCGGACCCGCCGCGGGAGCCGCCGGAATTGGCATGCCTCCTCGGGGCCCGGGACAGTCTCTGGGCGGGATGGGTAGCCTTGGTGCCATGGGACAGCCAATGTCCCTCTCAGGGCAGCCGCCTCCTGGGACCTCGGGGATGGCCCCTCACAGCATGGCTGTCGTGTCTACGGCAACTCCACAGAGTGAGTACCACGCTTCCTGGAGGATTTGCCACTTTCCTTGCAAACGATAACACATTTTATTCCTGTGCTTATGATGGTATCAAGAAAAGCATGGAGAAGCTCCAAATCGCTTTTTTTTTTTTTTTTTAATCTTTGTTGTATGTGGCTTCCAATCTTCTTTGAGCTCCCAGAAGGGTTAAGTGATCCTGGGCCCTCCTCCTAGCCCTGGGCAGGAGGGTGGGGATGGCCGGAGACTCCAGCCAAAGGTTTGTGTTTTGTGGCTGAGATAGATACAGTGTGTTTCAGGGGGTTCTCAGCCACGAGGCAGGGCTGAGTGCCAGCACCCACAACTCCACTGTCTGCCCGAGCTCTGGGCACCATCTCTTCTAGTGGTGCCCTTGCCACTTGGTCACCCTGGGTGTGGCTTGCAGCCATATTATCTTCTGACTTCCTTTCTGTGAAGGAGACTCTATGTCCTCTCCACACGGCTGCCCTGGTGGGGAACTGGGCTGTGATAGGTGTTACAGGTGAACCAAAGCTGCTCTCAAGGGGAGCTAAAGGACCTCCCTCTTCTTTCCAGGACTGTCTTTTGGGATGGGGTCTTGCTCTGTGGGCCACGCTGGAGTGCAGTGGCACAATCACGGCTCACTGCAGCCTCGACATCCTGGGCTCAGGTGACCCTCACACCACAGCCTCCCAAGTAGCTGGGACTACAGGCTTACAGCACCGCGCCCGGCTAATATTTTGTATTTTATGTGGAGATGGGACTTCACCATGTTGCCCAGGCTTATCTTGAACTCCTGGGCTCAAGTGATCGCCCACCTTGGCCTCCCAAAGTGTTGGGATTACAGGTGTGAACCACCACGCCCACCCTCAGGACCTATGTTGATGTATCTTCGAGTCCCATCAACATTTCTTGGAGTGTGCTGTGCCCACTGCAAAGTGCTTTAGTGTTTTTTTCCCTTTCATATAACTTTTTATTTTTAAAATAGTTTAGGAGTCACAGGAAGTTGTAGAATAGCACAGAGAGTTCCCACATGCCCTCTACCCAGCTCTCCCCAGTAACAATATCTTACACAGAACATGGTCAAAACCAAGAAATTAATGTTGAGGCAGTGTAATCACCTCAGTTAGAGACTTAACTTGGACTTCATTTTTTTTTTTTTTTTATTTTGAGACAGAGTTTCACTCTTGTTGCCCAGGCTGGAGTGAAGTGGCGTGATCTCAGCTCACTGCAACTTCTGCCTCCTGGGTTCAAGCAATTCTCTTGCCTCAACCTCCTGACTACCTGGGACTACCAGTGCCTGCCACCATGCCCAGCTAATTTTGTATTTTTAGTAGAGATGGGGTTTCACCATGTTGGCCAGGCTGGTCTCAAACTGCTGACCTCAAGTGATCCTCCCTCCTGAGCCTCCCAAAGTGGTGGGATTACAGGCGTGAGCCATCATGCCTAGCCAACTTCATCAGTTTTTTACACTCATTCTTGGGCTGCATATATGTGTATGTGTAGGTCTGTGAGATTTTACCACATGTCAAATCAAGTAGCCATCACCACAATTGGCATGCAGAGCTGTTCCATTACCACCAACCAGCTCTCTTGTGTTATCTTTCAGAGATCACACCCTCCCTCCAGCCCTAAGCCCTGACAATTGCTGATCTGTCGTGTGTCTCTGTAGTTCTGTCCTTTTGTGAATGTTGTATAAATGGAATCATACCATATGTGACTTTTTGAGATTGGCTTTTTAAATTCAGTCTGAGATCTTTGAGATCCACCCAGGTTTTATCAGTAGTTCATTCCTTTTCATCACTAAGTAATATTCCATGGAACGGATTTTCCACAGTTTATTCATTCACTCATGAAGGACATGGGGTTGTTTCCTGCTTTTGGCTACTATTATGCAAACAAAGCTGCTGTGGGTATCTGTGTACAGGCTTTGGTGCTTCAGTGTATTTTTATCACACATCCCTCATGATAACCCTATGAAGAGGGCAGCATCACCCCCTCTGCTTTGTCCAGCTGCTAATGAGAGCTGGAGTCACACCCCAGGCCAAGAGCCGGGATCAAAGCTGCTGCCTGACACCATCCTCATGCTCCTACCCCATCCTGTGTCAGGTTTCCTATTCTTTGAGGCCATAGGCATGCTCATTTCTACCCACTCCTGCTCTGGAGTCTTCCTCCATCCCGAGCCACCTTCCCTTCTCATACCTTAATTCTCCTCTTACTTCGTGTCGTCTAACTCTCAGTACGTGCTGGTTTCCTCGTCCTAGAACAATCTGCCTGGTTCTTTGTCCCAAGCTCTCATCACCTCACTCTTCTTAGCACATCAGATACGTACGCCAGCTGGGTTTAGGGAGGACCCACAGAAGTACTGGCTCAAGTTCCTTGTCATGTTCTACTCTTGTGTACTGGGTGCATTTTTTTTTTTTTATCATGAGCTTATATTTGATAATAAATTGTTTTTAAATGTATTTGAGTTTAGAATGCTCACATGAGTTGCCTTGTCATCCCACTCCAGAGACTTTGTCTTAAACCAGTTTTGTCAGAAGTTCAGTGGTGAAGCTTGATATCCTGCCCTTGCCCTCCCCAGTATGACCTTGGCCCACATCCTGTTTTTAGCTTCCAAGGGGCCTGGTCTTCTGTGTGTGGCACTAGTTGAAAGTTACAGTGGGGGCCAGGCGCGGTGATTCATGCCTGTAATCCCAACACTGGGAGGCCAAGGTGGGCGGATCGTGAGGTCAGGAGATCAAGACCATCCTGGCTAACATGGTGAGACCCCGTATCTACTAAAAATACAAAAACTCATCCGGGCATGGTGGCAGGCGCCTATAGTCCCAGATACTCGGGAGACTGAGGCAGGAGAATGGCGTGAACCTGGGAGGCGGAGCTTGCAGTGAGCCGAGATCGCACCACTACACTCCAGCCTGGGCAACAGAGGGAAACTCCATCTCAAAAGAAAAAAAAAAAAGTTACAGTGGATTCTGTACTTCAGGATCTTGTTACCACCTTTGTCAGAGACCATATCTCCCTGCCCTTTACCGCTTGCCTCCCTGGTCTCCCTGAAACTAGTGGTGTTGCCTGATGGGCATTTAATATCCCTTCCTGATACCTTTCCCAAAGACTACTGCATGATTAAGGCCCTTTCAGATCTTCATCTGGTGCCACCAAGAGGGCAGAGCCTGGGGCAGAGGTTTTGCCAGGGACTCTCAAAGGGTAGGCCAGGGGACATTGTGGTAGTTTTCAGGTGACCCAGGTTAGTCTGAAAAGGCTGAAACTGCTGGTTGTTCCTATGGCTGGGGCTGCAGTACAGAGTTGGAAGCAAAGCTTTTCACGCTGTGCATTTCTGTTTCTCAATGAGTTTTATATCACATGCATGTGAAGCTGACTTTAAAAATAATTTCTGCTGCCAGCTGTGTGACGGATTGGGTGCTGAGGACATGTCCTCCTCCTGGATAACTAGGTCCTGGTTAGGGTGCACTTTGGATTGCTGGCCTGCAGCAGTTGGGGAGGCTTTGTCCTCCTGAGCCTCGGCTGCTGCAGGGTGGGGGAAAGTAAGCTTGGGATTCCTCTAGTCAGCCAGGGTTTGTGCTGGGTCCTGTGGTCACCCCCCAGGTCCCCCAGAAGCAGGTGCAGATTGGAGGAACATGTCCCCAGTGTAAGACCTGTGACAGTTGTTCATTAAGGTCAAGCAGTCAGCATACAGAGATCACCAGCCATGAAGGGAAGGAGAGATACCATGAAGGTGAACAGAAATAATAGACACATGTAGGCATGCCCAGTGACCACACATTCAGGAACTGTTAGATATGGGCCATGGGGTGTATAAAGAAATAAAGTGGAGAGCTGGGCACAGTGGCACATAACTACACTCCTGGCTACTCGGAAGGCTAAGGCAGGAGGATTTGCTTGAGGCCAGGAGTTTGAGGCTATGGTGAACTATGATTTCACTACTGTACTCCAGCCTGGGGGATAGAACGAGATACCATCTCTGAAAAAATAGAAAACAAAAAAGAAAAGAAAAAGCAGAAATTCAAATGAAAAAGCATCATCAGGAGCGATGAAGCAGATTTGAAATGGAACCAAATAAAGCTGTAGAAATTAGCAGTATAATTTTTGAACAAAGGAAGTGGATGGATAAACAGCACATTAGATACAGCTGAAGAAAGAATTTGTGTAATAGAAGCTACATTTGAAGAAATTACCTAGAATGTAGCACAGAGAAGAGCACATGGAAAATATGAAAGCAAGGGTAAGAAATGAGGATAAGATCAGAAATTTGAATTGGCATCCAAGCAAAGCCCCCAAAGGATCAAATGGAGAGAATGGAAGAAAACAATATGTGAGGGGATAACTACTGAGAAAAGCCCATCTGGCCCCAGCCTAGTTAGCCATCTCATTTGCTGTGAGACTGCGGAGCACCAAAGGCCAGAGGAATATCTTAGAAATAGTCAGTTCCTGCAAAGGAGCAAGGAGTACGCTCAGCAGTGGAGTCAGAAAGATAATAGAATATTGTTAAAGCACTGAGAATAGAGCTGCCAGTCACATTTGTATGCCAGCAAGACTCAAGGATGTGGAAAGCAAGCCATTTTTAGATAAACCTAGCCTTAGAAACTTTCAGTAAAAGATTTTCTAAAGAATATATCCTTTTTTCTCCTTTTTCCAATAAGCCTTTTGCACTCTTAGATATATTCTTTTGTTTATCCTCTCCTCTTCCCTCTCAGGTGATGCAAGGTATAAAATGGGAAAAGAAACGTTGAGCGTAGGTGATAGTAAATGTGTGTAAATCTAAACCAGTGATTCTCACCCCGGGTGATGTTCCACCACAGGGGATATTTGACAATGTCTGGAGACATTTTGGGATGTCACTACTGTGGGGGTGCTGCTGGTGCATAACGGGTGGAGGTCAGAGATGCTGCTAACCATCTTACAAATACGGGCCAGCACCCCACAACATAGAATCATCTGGGTCAAGTGTCAGTAGTGTAGCGAAAAGGTTGAAAATCCCTGGTGTAAATAAAAATTTACCTCTGTAAAATAAAACAGTCAAGCTAACTTCCATACAGACTTGCCACATTCCAAGCACTATTTTATTTATTTTATTTTATTGTTTTTTTTTTTTGAGATGGAATCTCACTCTGTCACCATACTGGAGTGCAATGGCACAATCTCAGCCCACTGCAACCTCCACTGCCTAGGTTCAAGCGATTCTCCTGCCTCAGCCTCCCAATTAGCTGGGACAACAGGCTCGTGCCACCACGCCCAGCTAATTTTTGTATTTTTAGTAGAGACAGGGTTTCACCATGTTGGCCAGTTGATCTCGATCTCCTGACCTCATGATCTGCCCACCTTGGCATCCCAAAGTGCTGGGATTACAGGCGTGAGCCACCGTGCCCGGCCTATTATTATTATTATTTATAGACCTAGGATCTCCTCATGTTGCCCAGGCTGGTCTTGAATTTCTGGGCTCAGGCGATCTGCTGCCTCGGCTGTGCAAAGTGCTGAGATTATGGGCATGAGCCACAGCACCCAACCCCAGGCACTATTTTGAGTGTTTTACTTACATAATAGATTATTTAATTCTTAGTCCAGTGTGTGGAGTGGATACTATTATTGTGTTTTCTAACAGGGAAAACTGAGGCAATGAGCAGTGACAGAGTTGAGGTTTTGAGTCCAGGCAGCCTCGCTCAGAGGCTGTATCCCTAGCCTCACATCCATCCAGCCTCTTAATAGAATGTCTGCTGTGAAGAGTTAAGATCAACAAAATATGATATAAATGAAAGTCAGCAGGGAGATAGAGTGTGAATATCGGTTCTGTCATGTACATATAAAACCTACTTTAAAAAGTAGCAGGCCGGGCGCGGTGGCTCACGCCTGTAATCCCAGCACTTTGGGAGGCCGAGGCGGGCGGATCATGAGGTCAGGAGATCGAGACCACGGTGAAACCCCGTCTCTACTAAAAATACAAAAAATTAGCCGGGCGCGGTGGCGGGCGCCTGTAGTCCCAGCTACTCAGGAGGCTGAGGCAGGAGAATGGCGTAAACCCAGGAGGCGGAGCTTGCAGTGAGCCGAGATCGCGCCACTGCACTCCAGCCTGGGCGACAGAGCGAGACTCCGTCTCAAAAAACAAACAAACAAACAAACAAAAAAAAAAAAAGTAGTAAATTTGGGAAATGCTAAAATATTGATAAGGTTTATATTTTAAGTTAAATATGCATGATAAAATTGAAAACTTACTGCTAAAACAATGGAAATAATTCATAAAATTTAAAATCAGTAGAAAAAATAGGATAAGGCAGAAATCCAGATAATACAAAGTTCAATCCAGTCATCTAGCAAAAATGCAATAAAAAAATACAAAGCTTAGAAAAGGAAAGACAAGGCCGGGCGCGGTGGCTCAAGCCTGTAATCCCAGCACTTTGGGAGGCCGAGACGAGCGGATCACGAGGTCAGGAGATCGAGACCATCCTGGCTAACACGGTGAAACCCCGTCTCTACTAAAAATACAAAAAAACTAGCCGGGCGAGGTGGCGGGCGCCTGTGGTCCCAGCTACTCGGGAGGCTGAGGCAGGAGAATGGCGGGAACCCGGGAGGCGGAGCTTGCAGTGAGCTGAGGTCCGGCCACTGCACTCCAGCCCGGGCGACAGAGCGAGACTCCGTCTCAAAAAAAAAAAAGAAAAGGAAAGACAAAGGCCTGGTGCGGTGACTCACGCCTGTAATCCCAGCACTTTAGGAAACTGAGTCAGGCAGATCACGAAGTCAGGAGATTGAGACGATCCTGGCCAACATGGTGAAAACCTGTCTCTCCTAAAAATACGAAAAATTAGCTGGACATGGTGGTGCATGCCTGTAATCCCAGCTACTTGGGAGGCTGAGGCAGGAGAATCGCTAGAACCCAGGAGGCGGAGGTCGCAGTGAACCGAGATCACACCACTGCACTCCAGTCTGGAGACAGAATGAGACTCCATCTCAAAAAAAAAAAAAAGAGAGAAAAGGAAAGACAAATATTAATAGAAATAAGTTTAAAAATATAAGTAATCATAATAAATGTGAGTGGACTAAACTTTTCTGCTGAAAGATAGGAAATGTGAGAACAAATGGAAATGAAACAGCACAGTTGTTTTATTGTTAGAAGAAACACACACCTACAATATAACATGTGAAAGGATTGTAAGTAAAACACTCAAAATTTTATTTTTAAATAAAAGATGAAGAAAGGCCGAGTGCAGTGGCTCAATCTGTAATCCCAACACTTTGGGAAGCTGAGGTGGGAGGATCACTTGAGCCCAGGAGTTCAAGACCAACCTCGGCAAAATAGGAGACCCATTTCTACATAAAATTTAAAAATTACCTGTAGGTACACTTGAGATGCTGAGGTAAGAGGATCGCTTGACCCTGGGCGGTCAAGGCTGCAGTGAGCCATGACTGCACTATTGCACTCCAGCCTGAGCTGCAGTGAGACCCTATCTCAATCAGTCAGCCAATAAAATTGGCTGGGTGTAGTGGTACACACCTGTAGTCCCATCTACTTGTGAGGCTGAGGTGGGAGGATGACTTACTTGAGCCCAGAACGCCAAGGCTGCAATGAGCCATGATGGAGACACTGCATTCCAGCCTGGATGACAGAGCGAAATCAAAAAAGAAACAAACAAACAAAAAGATGAAGAAAGATGTATTAGGTAATTACTTCAATTACATCTCTTTGTTATTGATAAACAGACCAAAAAATTCATTTACAGAAAATTTGAACAATGTAATGAACAACTTAATATAAGCATATGATGGAACAATATGTTTCTAAAAATCATAAAGCAAGCTTCAACACATTTCAGAAAATTTAAAAGTATTGTCATACTTTTTGTCGTTGTTGTTGTTGTTTTGAGACAGTCTCACTCTGTCACCCAGGCTGGAGTGCAGTGGTGCAATCTTGGCTCACTGCAACCTCTGCCTCCTGAGTTCAAGCAGTTCTCCTGCCTCAGCCTCCCGAGTAGCTGGGATTACAGGCGCGTGCCACCATGCCCACTAATTTTTGTATTTTTAGTAGAGATGGGGTTTCACCATGTTGGACAAGCTGGTCTCAAACTCCTGACCTCAAATGATCCTCCTGCCTGAGCCTCCCAAAGTGCTGGGATTACAGGTGTGAGCCACTGCGCCCAGCCGGTCATACATGTTTTATGAATGTCAGATAGAGTTAGAAATCTGTTACAAAATAAATTTTGAAAGTTTTACACGTGGCCAGGCACAGTGACCCATGCCTGTAATCTCAACACTTTGTGAAGTCGAGGCAGGAGGATCACTTGAACCCAGGAGTTTGAGATCAGCCTGGGCAACAAAGTGAGACTGTCTCTACAAAAATTTTACAAATTAGTTGGGTCTGCTGGCATGCACCTGTAGTTCCAGCTGCTCGGGAGGCTGAGGCAGGAGGGTCACTTAAGCCCAGGAGGTCAAGGGTGCAGTGAGCCACAATGGCACCATTTCAGTCCAGCCTGGGCAACAGAGTGAGATCCCATCTCAAAAAAAAAAAATCTTACACCCATCAGAATTGCTAAAATGAATAGTGACAGCCTCAAATCTTGGTGACAGAGAAACTGAATCACTCATATTGCTGGTCAGAATGTAAAGTAGTTTTACCTTCTTTCAAAATGAAATATGCAACTCTGCAGTTACACTTTTGGGTATTTTTCCTAGAGAAATGAAAACCTCGCATAAAAACCCAGGCACAAATTTTAACAGCAGCTTTATTTGTGGTAGCCCAAATCTGCAGTTACCCAAATGTCCTTCACGTGAATGGTTAAACACAGTGTGAGGTGCTTGTACCATGGAATACCCTGGCAGTACAAGGAAGGAACTGTTGCCAGAACTACAACCTGTATGCTGAATGTAAAAAGCCAAAGGTTCATACTGTATGGTTCCATTTTTGAAATATTATATGTAATTTTGAAATGACAAAATTTTAGAAATGGAGGATGCTGCAGTAGTTGCCAGAGTTTGTGGGTCAGGGTTGCTGAGAGAGGTGGCAACATGAGGGATCCTTGTGGTATGGGAACTGTGTAGTGTATTGACTGGTGGTGATTGAACCCACCCAGGTGGTTAAATTGTCCAGAACTGAGTACACACACCCACACAAGTGAGCACACATCGTGGTTATGATACCTTGTAATTTTGTAGAATGTTACCATTGGAAGAAATGGCAGAATATACAAAGGATCTCTCTGTATTTCTTTAATACAGCTTTATTGAGACATCATTCTCTTCAGCATACAATTCACCCATCTGAAGTGCTCCACTTGGTAGGTTTTAGTGTAACTCACAGAGTTGTGCAGCCATCATCACAATTTTAGAACATTTTTATGTTCACCCCAAAAGAAACCTTACCTCAGAAAATCTTGTAATTGACTGTTCATATAAGCAGTTTTCATAATAGCCACAAAGTAGAAGCAGCCCAAATGTTCATCAGCTGATGAATGGATAAATAAAACACAGGAAGTCGGTGTTGTAGGATACTATTTGGCGATAAAAATAACACGGAAAAGCTGATACATGCCACGACATGGGCGAACTTGTAACTATTATGCTAAAGAAGCTAGTCACAAAACAGCACATGTTCAGTGCCATTCGTACAGAGTCCAGAAGTGGCCAATCCATAGAGACAGAGAGGAGATTACTGATTTCCAGAGTCTAGGCTTCTTATCTATCCAAAAGACTCAGTTGTCCCTTTTCTTTTCTCTTTGGTTATTACAGAGTAACTCGTGATAGGAAATTCCAAAATCAACACAAATGCTACTTTGTATTCTATCTTTCTGTCTGTGGTAAATGGAACGTTCAGATTCCAGCGGCAGCCGTGGCAGTGGGGACTTTGCTGGCTGTTTTGTCCCTCGCTGTGCAGCCCTGCAGCGTTTCTGGGAACCTGCCTTGTGGACTGACTGGCAACTCTGGTCTTTTCTCAGCCCAGCTGCAGCTCCAGCAGGTGGCGCTGCAGCAGCAGCAGCAACAGCAGCAATTCCAGCAGCAGCAGCAGGCGGCGCTACAGCAGCAGCAGCAGCAGCAACAGCAGCAGTTCCAGGCTCAGCAGAGTGCCATGCAGCAGCAGTTCCAAGCAGTAGTGCAGCAGCAGCAGCAGCAGCTCCAGCAGCAGCAGCAGCAGCAGCAGCATCTAATTAAATTACATCATCAAAATCAGCAACAGGTACCAGGTCCCCTGTTCCTGCTCTTGGCCTCCCTCCTGCAATGTGAGCCCTGGGCTGGCATCAGTCACGATGCTGGGTGCAGTGCACGGAGCCAGCCAAGGGTCCTCTTGACACATGTGTGCCTGCCTTTTTCCATGGGCTTCTCGAAAAGTCTGGGACAAGGCTGGGCCCGGTGGCTCATGCCTGTAATCCCAGCACTTTGGGAAGCTGAGGCAGGCAGATCACCAGGTCAAGAGTTCGAGACGAGCCTGGCCAGCATGGTGAAACCCCGTCTAAAAATACCGCGTCTACTAAAAATACAAAAAATTAGCTGGACATGGTGGCGCACACCTATAATCCCAGCTATTCGGGAGGCTGAGTCAGGAGAATTGCTAGAACCTGGGAGGCGGAGGTTGCAGTGAGCTGAGATTGCACCACTGCACTCCAGCCTGGGTGACAGCAAGACTCCGTCTCAAAAAAAAAAAAAAAAAAAAAGGAAAGAAAAGTCTGAGACAGGTAGGAAAAACAGGACCTGACTCACTAGGAAGGTTCTGTGATCTAGCCCTTCCATTTGTGCTCGGGGCATCTGGCGGCAGGCCTCCTGTGTGCTTCAGGGGCTGCAAGGGATTCAAACGAGTGAGCTGAAGCAAGAAGTGAGGTGAACACTCTGAGGCTTGGGACTACTTGAGCCACTGTGGACCATTTTGGCTGAGGACACATGTGCCTCCTGTTTACCTCTCTGTCTTGGGTTCTGGGCTCAGTGTTAGTCAGCCTCCAGCTGGTGTTCCATGGGGTGATGGTGATGTCATGTTAGCAGCACTGCTTCTCAGAAGTTGTTCAGCTTCCCATGGTTTCCATAGAGAGTCTAGACATGTTAAACATCTGCCCCCACAGCAGGTCTTGGTTGGGAGAGGAAAGCCCCAAAGGGCCCCCACCACCCTCCTACTCCTTCAGGCCTCAGCTTGCTGGGCTTCTCTGGATCTTGGGGCCCCTGTCCCAGAGCTGACAGTCCATCTGCAGCCACAGTTTTCCTTCTCATGCTAACCAGCAGATCTTGACTGTCACTGTGAGGCTCATGCCACTGACCTGTAGGGGCAAAGCAAGCATCATTACAGAGGCTTCAGAAATCTGCAGTTGCCTCAGCTTTTATCCTAGCTTCCATGGAGCTATACCTGTTCATTGTCACCTTTTGCTGAAGCTTCTAGATATGTCCTCTGAACCATCCTAGTGGAATGGTAGACCAGAGCCCAGGCACACGCTTGGTGCCTCCTCAGTGTCAGGAAGGCAGCTGGTGTTGGCCTCGGGGGCCCAGAATCTTTCTATAGGAGATGTGCCTCTCCCTGTGTGAGTGAGAGGTCAGCCTGTCAGCTCAGGAAGGCCTTTTTTTTTCTTTTCTTTTCTTTTTTTTTTTTCCGAGACTTTTTTTGAGTCTTACTGTGTCGCCCAGGCTGGAGTGCGGCGGCGTGATCTCGGCTCACTGCAACCTCCACTCCGCCGGTTCAAGTGATTCTCTTGCCTCAGCCTCCCAGGTAGCTCTCCTGCCTCAGCCTCCCAAGTAGTTGGGATTACAGGTGTGAGCCACCATGCCTGGCTAATTTTTGTATTTTTAGTAGAGACAGGGTTTCGCCGGGTTGTCCAGGCTGTTCTCGAACTCCTGACCTCAGGTGATCTGCCCACCTCAGCCTCCCAAAGTGCTGGGATTATAGGCATGAGCCACTGCACCCAGCCAGGAAGGCCTTCTTGATGGCTCTGCAGATGGCCACCTGGGCTTCCTGGGGTCCAGAGTGTCACAGGGAGGAGCTGGTACCACAGAGGCAAATGAACGATAACCGAGTGCTGCTTGGTCTGTCTCTAGATACAGCAGCAGCAGCAGCAGCTGCAGCGAATGGCACAGCTGCAGCTCCAGCAACAGCAACAGCAGCAGCAGCAGCAGCAGCAACAGCAGCAGCAGCAGGCTTTGCAGGCCCAGCCGCCAATTCAGCAGCCACCGATGCAGCAGCCACAGCCTCCGCCCACCCAAGCTCTGCCCCAGCAGCTGCAGCAGATGCATCATCCACAGCACCACCAGCCGCCACCACAGCCCCAGCAGCCTCCTGTTGCTCAGAACCAACCATCACAACTCCCACCACAGTCACAGACCCAGCCTTTGGTGTCACAGGCACAAGCTCTCCCTGGACAAATGTTGTATACCCAACCACCACTGAAATTTGTGAGTACCTGTGGCCCGCAGTGGAGCACATGCAGCCCATGACTCTGTCAGTAGTTTCTAGACTCTTTGACTAGAGATAGTATGTCCTGTTCTTCAAGTGCTGAGACTTCAGGCAGCCCCCGCCCCTTGCCAGCCCTGCTGATTCTAGCATGGCTCAGCAGGGAAGCATGTGTTTTGCGTTTTGTGTTCTGAGAGCTGCTTCTGCACCCTGCACAGGGTGCTGGCTGCTGCTGCTGCTGGGGCACCAAGTCGCATTCCAAGCAGTGTGGCTGATTGCAGCAGTTCTGTGGGCCCTTTCAGGGTGTGAGCACTTCGACTAATGGGCACCACATGGAAGAATGTGACAGCTCCATCAGTATCTGGTGGTTTGCCAACTGCTCAGAGTTAATGTTCTAAGCAAGTATCTTTTTTGTTTTCTTTACACTCTGCCAAGTCTCAGGAGAACAAAGTTCATTACTATATTTTCGAGGGGAGTATTAATATAAAATACTGTTATTCCCAGTCTCATTTTGTATCTCTGCACAAAGCCAGTCTACTCAGTGACATTGGCACAGAGGATAGAGTATGATCACCAGGATGGAGGTAGCTGCATCAAGGGGCTATTTGGATAACTCTGGCTTACTTGATTTTTGTGGCCTTTTCTATTTGTGATTCATGAGTGGAGTGGGGCCTGAGCCAAATGTGGGGGTGAACAAGAGGCCTCACAGGCAGGCTGGAAGTCCAGGAGAGTTGTGAGGAGCAGATACGGTCACTCATCTGTCACCTGGGAGTCAACACACTGCCTGACCCCTGGGACTGTGCAGAATGAAACCCTTGTGTGCTGCATGGTGGAATGTGCCCTGGCAGGGTTTGCCCTGGTGGCTTGGAGATGTCTAAGGAAGAGCCCCCTGTGTGGTAGTGCGGGCCCATCTCGTCCCTCTGGAGACCCCTCCATGCAGTGGCTCCACAGTTGCCCCTTTTGCCCAAGCTTGCCCCCCACCCCCACTTTTTTTTGTTTTGAAGACGGGGTCTCTCTGTGTTGTCCAGGCTGGAGTGCACTGACGTGATCAGACCTCCCTTGCTCAAGCGATTCTCCCACCTCAGCCTCCCAAGTAGCTGAGACTACAGGCGTGCATCCCCACATCTAGCCAAATTTTTGTATATTTTGTAGAGATGGGGTTTGACCATGTTGCCCAGGCTAGTTTTGATCTCCTGGACTTAAGCAATCCACTGGCCTCGGCCTCCCAGAATGCTGAGAATACAGACAGGAGCTTCTATGCCCTGCCCTCTGCTGGCCAGCTGACCCACCTTCAACAAATCAGGCTGAGTGAGGCTCTCATGGACCATCAGCATGCTTGGCCCAGAGGATGAGCAGGCTAGGCTGTAAGCTTTGCATTGGAAGCTGTCAGTGCTTGTGGTGATAGCTGGTGCTGAGGGATATGTGGAGACATCCCAGTGGGAGGGCCACACTGCCACTTGCCAGAATTGGATTTGAGCTAATGGGATCCTAGATGGCTAGTGAGGTGACATCACAGCACATGAAGTCATGAAAGTCCCATTCCTCATCTCAAGAAAGGCTCCATTTCCTAAGCTCCCGCAGGAGGACTGGGCTCTGCTCTCTGACCCAGGTGGCTCCAAATCACATTCTCTCTTTCTCCCTCAAGGTCCGAGCTCCGATGGTGGTGCAGCAGCCCCCCGTGCAGCCCCAGGTGCAGCAGCAGACGGCAGTACAGACAGCTCAGGCTGCGCAGATGGTGGCTCCCGGAGTCCAGGTGAGGGCCTGGGGGTGGAGGGCTCCATAGTCACCAGCAGGTGCATGGTCACCTGCACATGGAGTGCTACAGTGAGGATTCTGGTTGGATTAGGGGCTGGGGGCTAAGTTGGTAAAGCAGTTGCTTCTCTCCCCCTTGCACTCTGCAAGACACCCCTGGAGTCCTTGGGGTGGGCAGCTCTGCTTGGTCATGTCTAGGACCCACCAGTCTCATAGTGCGTGTCGTTTCCAGCTTTGCTTGGGCATCCTTCATCATCCCTCTTCCTTGCCACTCTGAGTGACTCAGGGAACATGTATCAGAGAGTAGAAGGCTGCAGTTTTGTCCTCACCTCTCACGTTCCATTTGAGAGTCTGAGTACAGAGCTGACCAGGGTGGAGGGCAGCTTTCTAGACACTCGGAAGCAGATGGGAGCCACATGCAGCAGGAGTGTGGGAGAGGGCATCCTGGTGCTCACCTGCACTCGGGGACTCTGGTGCTGTGTGGTGAGAAGCGTGCCGCTCCCGTGTTGCTGAGCTTGCTGGTGTGTCACATGTGTGGAACATGTGTGTGTCTCTATGTGTCACGTGTCAATGGAATGCAGATGGCCTCACCTGGCCTCCTAGCGTCCTGGGATTGGAGTCCCAGGGTTTCTGTACCTTCTCCTATAGCCCCTCCTCTCCTTGCCGCCACTGAGGTGGGGAGACTTACGGTCTGGGGCTTCAGTTTTTCCACTTTCCACATGATGGTGGAAACACTGTTGGTCCTGACTCGGAGGGGGTGTTGCCTTTAGAAAGAGTCAGAATGTGCTAGTTGATGTGATAAGACTGTGGCTGGGTCCCAGCCCACAGCTGGCAGTGCGCCTGCACTTTGCTGTCGTCTTAAGGGTGGCAGGCTTCATCTCACACCTGGGGGGTGCTCAGTAATGTCCTTCCTGGTGCCTGCTACCTCCTTTAAGTCCCTGGGAAGCTGTCTGAGGAGGGAATCTGAGGTGTTTAGCTGCAGCTGAGGTTAGCATCCTACCTTGGCATGGCACCAAATGACTTGGGGCCAGGGTCCCCATGTCACATTCTTACTTAGGTGGAGCCCTGTATGAAACATACCACAGAACTCACGTTTACTTACAACTGGGGGAGGCTGACCACTTCGTGTGACAAAGTTGGAGGTCTCTGCCACCTCCCTGTGTGTCTCGGCATGTCCTCAGGCCTCCGGGGGGGCTCCCTTGTCCTGGGCTCATGCAGAGGAGGGATGTAGTGTGTTCACAGTCAGCTTAGTGGTGGCACATAGTGACTGCCCAGCCAGTGGAAGCTGCTGCCTTTGCCTCTTTGGACCGTCGCTCCTCTGTTCAGGACCTTACTTCATGGAAACTTTTGAGATGGAGTCTCTATCGCCAGGCTGGAGTACAGTGGCACGAACTTGGCTCACTGCAACCTCTGCCTCCCGGGTTCAAGTGATTCTCCTGCATCAGCTTCCCAAGTAGCTGGGACTACAAGTGCCGCGCACCACCATGCCAGGCTAATTTTTGTATTTTTAATAGAGACAGAGTTTCACCATGTTGGCCAAAATGGTCTCGATCTCTTGACCTCGTGATCCGCCCACCTTGGCCTCCCAAAGTGCTGAGATTACAGGCATGAGCCACCGTGCCCGGCCAGAAACTTCTATACTGCAGGTCAAGCCCAGCAGGAAAGCAAGAACTGCTCTTTTCTTTCTTTCTTTCTTTCTTTTTTTTTTTTTTTTTTTTTGAGATAGAGTCTCACTCTGTCATCCGGGCTGGGTTGCAGTTGCGCGATCTCGGCTCACTGCAACCTCTGCCTCCTGGGTTCAGGCGATTCTTGTGCCTCAGCCTCCCAAGTAGCTGGGACTACAGACACACACCACCACACCTGGCTAATTTGTGTATTTTTAGTAGCAATAGGGTTTCACCACGTTGGCCAGGCTGGTTTGAACTCCTGACTTCAAGTGATTCACCCGCCTCAGCCTCCCAAAGTGCTGGGATTACAGGCATGAGCCATCACTCCCAGCCTAGAACTCCTGCCTCCTTCCCTCCCTCCCTCCTTCCCTCCTTCCTTTTTTTTTTTTTTTTGGACAAAGTCTTGCTCTGTCACCTAGGCTAGAGTGGCTGGAGTGCAATGGTGCAATCTTGGCTCACTACAGCCTCCATCTGCCAGATTCAAGCAATTGTCCTGCCTTTGCTCCCAAGTAGCTGGGACTACAGGCATGCGCCACTATGCCCAGCTAATTTATTTTATTTTATTTTATTTTATTTTATTTTATTTTTTGTATTTTTAGTAGAGATGGGCCAGGCTGGTCCTAAGCTCCTGACTTCAAGTGATCCACCTGCCTCAGCCTCCCAAGGTGCTGGGATTACAGGCATGAGCCACTGTGCCCAGCCGAACTTTCCTTTTCTTTCCATTTCTTGGTATTTGGAAAGTGAACAGCCATGGAACAGCCCATGTTCTCAGCTGGTGCAGGCCCAGCTGGTACGTTCGTTAGGCTTCTAGCTCAAGGAAGTGTCCGCTCTGCAGTCTCACTGGCATCCCATCACCTTCCAGAAGCAGGATGCCAGTTGTGTGTGCTCATGGCCCATGCTGAGCCTGTCCTTGAAGCGCTGGTCTTCCTGTCAGTTTCTCCACCCCTTGTTTCATGTGGAGGTCCCCGCCCAGCTGGCACAGGAAGGATAGAGAGTGGTTACCACTGTGGTTCATTGCCGAGTGAGTTTAGTGTTTTAAGGATCATTGCCTACCTGCCCTGTGGCACCATGTGCTGCCTTGCGGGGGATTCCCAAGTGCTAGTGGCAGAGGAGCCTTGTAGTTTCTCAAAGTCCAGCAATGGGTAGGGCGTATCTATGAGGTGCTTCTCAGTCCAAATGTAGCACCTTGAAATTCTGTAACCTGCATTCTGCTGGTTTTCTCTCAGAGCTTGGTCTTGCCTTGTTGCAAGCAGTGCAGTTTCTTGGGGGCTGATTGGACACCCTCACTGTATTGTTCCACCAATAGCAGCTCCCCCTGCTGGGGGATGGGGGGGTTTGGGCGCAGCCAGTGCTCTGAGGGGCCCTCTGGATTGATGATCTTCTTTTGAATCTTGAATTGGCACAGTGACCAGGTGAGGCTACGGTACTCTGATCTAAAAACTTTAAAAGTATGTGTGGTAACTGTAGAACCCAGAAAGTGGAGAGGAATAGAAGTAAGAGAACCATTCCATGAGAGAGAAGGTCTGGTGTCCTTTCTGGTTCTTTCCCATAATCAATGCCATGCTATCCTGCAGTTTTTGTGCAGCATCTTCCACATCAACATGGGATGAAATGTTCTCCTTTAATTAGAAAGCCCTGGTCGACGCCAAGGGACTCTCATCATACTCTGTGAATGTCTCCTGCCATCCTCAGTTACCGTCTTGTTCTTGGACCTTGTAATAATTTCCAATTTTTTGCTGTTACCAATGACACATATCTTGATGTCCTAGATTGTTCCTAGATTGTTTCTGAAACTAATAGAGGTGAGTGACTGGTTCACTTTGAGGGCCTTCAGATCTGATCAGCCACCATCTAACCAGGAGGTCAGAGATGCAGATTGGAGCTCCCCTTGTGTTGTTCACACAGTGGACATCAGGACGTGGTGACCACGTGTTGCAGCTTTGTATGTGTAAGCTGCTGCGTGCTGTGGAAACAGGCCTCTGAGTTCATGAATGAAATTCTGGGATTGGGGGCCCCAATGCCGGCAGCCCTCCATGCCCTGTCTCTCAAGTCCATCTTAGAGCCGAAGAGAGGCGCCCTGTTAGGCCCTTTGCAGTACTGTGGTGATGGGTGTGGTAAAGGGTAGCCTGGGACTGAGTATTCTAGAAAAATTGCTCAGCCTTGTGCTGTGCACACCTGGTTCTCTTTCCAGTGTTATTTATGTAGCTGAGAAGGGCGATGTCACCCACAGGGGGATTTAGCAGGACACAGCATACTTCTCTTTCTCCCCTGTAAAACCAGGACATGCCAGGCACAGTGGCTCATGCCTGTAATACCAACACTTTGGGAAAAGAGGTGAGAGGATCACTTGAGACCAGGAGTTCAAAACTATCCTGGGCAACACAGCAAGACCCTGTCTCTACAAAAAAATAAAAATAAAAAATTAGCTGGGCACAGTGGTGCATGTCTGCAGTCCCAGCTACTCGGGAGGCTGAGATGGGAGGATGATGCAAGCCCAGGGGTTTGAGGCTGCAGTGAGCTGTGATGACAGCATTGCACTGTAGCCTGGGAGACAGAGCAAGACTCTTGTCTCTTTAAAAAAGCAAGAAACAGGACAGAATGCATCTCGTTTTCTTTTTTTTTTTCTTTTTCTTTTTTTTTTTTTTTTTGAGACGGAGTCTCGCTCTGTCGCCCAGGCTGGAGTGCAGTGGCGCGATCTCGGCTCACTGCAAGCTCCGCCTCCCGGGTTCACACCATTCTCCTGCCTCAGCCTCCCGAGTAGCTGGGACTACAGGCGCCCACAACCGCGCCCGGCTAATTTTTTGTATTTTTAGTAGAGACGGGGTTTCACCGTGGTCTCGATCTCCTGACCTTGTGATCCGCCCGCCTCGGCCTCCCAAAGTGCTGGGATTACAGGCGTGAGCCACCGCGCCCGGCTTTTTTTCTTTTTTTAAGACAGAGGCTCTTACTCTGTCACCCAGGCTGGAGTGCAATAGCGCAATCTCAGCTCACTGCAATTTCCGCCTACTGGGTTCAAGAGATTCTCCTGCCTCAGCCTCCCAAGTAGCTGGGATTACAGGCTTGTGCCTGGCTAATTTTGTATTTTTAGTAGAGAAGAGACAGGGTTTCTCCATGTTGGTCAGGCTGGTCTTGAATTCCCGACCTCAGGTGATCCACCCACCTTGGCCTCCCAAAGGCTGGGATTACAGGCATAAGTCACTATGCTGGGTTTTTGTTTTTTGTTTTTTGTTTGTTTGTTTGTTTTTGTTTTTGTTTTGTTTTTTTTGAGATAGTCTTGCTCTGTTGCCCAGGCTGGAGTGCATTGGCTCGATCTTGGCTCACTGCAACCCCACCTCCTGGGTTCAAGCAATTCTCTTGCCTCAGCTTCCCAAGTGGCTGGGATTACAGGTATGCGCCACCACACCTGGCTAATGTTTGTATTTTTAGTAGAGACGGGGTTTCGTTATGTTGGCCAGGCTGGTCTTGAACTCCTGGCCTCAAGAGATGAGCCCGCTTTGGCCTCCCAAAGTGCTGCAATTACAGGCGTAAGCCACTGTACCTGGCCATGCATCTCATTTTCAAACAGTCCTTATAATACTTTGTCGTTTAACCTTCTGTTCTTTTAGTATGTGAAAACCAAACTCTAATTTACAAGTCACAAAGGATTATCAAAGACAGACCTCCATTATAGACATGTATGTGGCATTGCTGATTCACAGCTGCTCTACTGAAGCCTTGGCCAGCCTGGAGGACCCTCTCTCTTTTCTGTGGATCCTTCTGCACAGTGACTGCAGTGGGGAGAGTCAGACCTGGGAGCGGGGAGAGGTTTTTTGGACTCCTCTCTGGGTAGATGTGTGTTGGGAAGTAGTGAAGTGTTGTTGAGAGCTGCCTGGCTCGTCGGATCCAGTAGACATAACTGGTGCTTTTGGGTTGGCATTTGTAGTTGAAACAAATTGGGCTTTCCTTATCAGGAGTTCTCAGTTATAAGAACACCAGTCAGCAGTACATTAGACTTAAGCTTTGCCTTCCTTGTGTTTTTTTGTTTGTTTTTCTCTTCCTGGAAAAAAGTTTGCTTCTCTCATACCATCTGACTTACTTCCAGGCTTTTCTCCCTTGTGGAACGAGTGCTGTTGAGCACTGCTGCACTCTCAGACGGGCTCCTCCGAAGTGCCGCAGGTAGTGGTAAATAGACTCTTACCCCATTGGGATCGCTTCTTTGTTTCTCACCCCCAGTTAGTTCATTTGTTGTTCTGGCTGCAGGAGGAACGAGTGAGGTTCTGGTTGGCATCTGCTAGGCTGTGTCACTCCGTCTTCTCGTGCCTCCTGTGTGTGCCCATGGTTGCGAGTGTGGGCCCTGTGTGTGAGGCCACAGGTCTCCCTGCAGCCACTCTCCTGCTGGAGCTCTGTTATTGGCATCCGTCGCTGCCTGCACTGAAGGCTGGCAGCACCTTCCGGAGCTTGGGACCCAGAGCACAGCCTCCCACCATGAGATGTGTTGTTTTTCCGTGGATCAGTCCTGCTTTCTTTCTGAGCCTGGCGTGTTTTATTCTAGTTTGTTACCATCCTAAGTGCCTGTAGGCCTTGCTCTCTAGAAACGAGACTTGGGCCCCATCCCCAACTCAAAACCCAGAGCAAGAGTGGTCGGGCCTGGGCCCACAACAGTGCTCAGCTGCCCTGCTGCCTTTGTAGTTCAAGAAGTGTCCATTGATGAGGGAAATGGTCCTGGCTCATACTGGAGTTCCTGACTCACATCCCTGTGGAGGTGAACTTCCTCATCAGGGCGGAGGCCTGCCAAGCAGTCCCCCTAGGCTTCTCTTGCTCACCTTTGCCCATTTTTGTTATGAAAGAAAACCAGTTCCTCAATAGATACCAGAACCAGCAGCCTCAGGCCTGGAGGAGGAGAGGTGGATGATTTGGGTTTGGGCTGTAAGAAGTGTGCCACTGAGAAGGAAGGATGCTGTGAGCAGGCTTACCTGAGCTCATGGTTCAGTGGGAGTCGAGTGTTCTCATCACAAGCTTTGGTGGAATGTACTCTTGACGTCTGTCCCCGGGAGCCTGGTCTCCAGAAACACCAGTGCGGGCCCTCAAGGTCTGGCTCTGATGGTTCTGTGGGCTGTAGAATTCTAATCTGTTAGTGAGGTGTGTTCAGAAGTGTGTTGAGGACACCAGTGCAGGAGAGCAGCCAATAGAATAGAAAGGTCTGGAAGCAGCATTCTTGGCAAATCTTCTAGATTCCCAATGCCCAGATAGACCTGGAGGTGCTGTGGGCTTGAATGTGTGGGTGGCCTCCCCTCCCAGGCTGCCCTGAGCTGTCCAAGGGTTCCTCACCCTGGTGCTCCTTCTTGCAGAGGCTACACATGTCCTCTCCACCTGCCCAGGCACTGAGTTTCTTTGTTGCGATCACCTTGTCTGTTGTCCCTCTGTCCTCAAAGATGATCACGGAAGCCTTGGCCCAAGGTGGGATGCACATAAGAGCCCGGTTCCCGCCTACCACCGCTGTGTCCGCCGTCCCGTCAAGCTCCATCCCTTTGGGCAGACAGCCCATGGCACAGGTATTTAACGGGGCAGCGCCCAGGGCACGGCTGGGAGCTCAGGGCGTCCTCTGAGCGCCTTTGTAAAGCACACCTGTCATTATCATTGCCGGTGACTTCCTTTATGGTGGCTTTCAGAGTGCCAAACCCACAGTCACCTTTTTTTTTTTTTTTTTAAATGAAGCTAAGCCCAGCTTGTGCTTCTTGAGAGGATATGAATAAATATCTGGGTCTTTTCAGCTTAAAATAGTTATACTGTACGCATTTTCATGATAAAAATAAAACAGAAGCTAAGCAAAAGTTTTGCTTTCTAGAGCTGTGCTATCTAAGCATGTGTGGCTGTTTACATTTAAATTAACTAAAATTAGGCCGGGCACAGGGGCTCATGCCTGTAATCCCAACACCTTAGGAGGCTGAGATGGGAGGATCACTTGAGGCTGGGAGTTTGAGACCAGCCTGGTTCACATAGCGACATACTCTCTAATTATATATACATATATATTTTATTTTTCATGGGAAAAAATATATATATGTGTGTGTGTATTTTTTTTATTTTTTGAGACAGAGTCTCGCTCTCTGGCCCAGTCTGGAGTGCAATGGCACAATCTCGGCTCACTGCAAGATCTGCCTCCTGCGTTTGCACCATTCTCCTGCCTCAGCCTCCTGAGTAGCTGGGACCATAGGCGCCCGCCACCATACTCGGCTAATTTTTTGTATTTTTAGTAGAGACGGGGTTTCACCGTATTAGTCAGGATGGTGTTGATCTCCTGACCTCGTGATCCACCCGCCTCAGCCTCCCAAAGTGCTGGAATTACAGGCATGAGCCACCGCGCCCGGCCATATATTTTAAAAATGGAAAAAAAAAAAAAACCCCAAAAGTCAACTAAAATTAAATAAAATGAAAAAATGCAGTTCCTCAGTTGTACCAAATAAATTTCAAGCCCTCATTTGCCCACGGGGAAGCTAGTGGCTGCTGCAGTGGATAGCACAGACTCCAGAACGTGGCTTTTGTGGCCAAGATGGCATTGGGCCATGCTGTTGTAGAGTTTGCTGTGTAGAGTGTGTAATTTGTAATACACATCCCCTTTCTAGGTAGAGGTAGACTTCTGTGTACATTTTGCTTTTCAGGGATATGAATTCCCGGCTTCTCTTTATTGTATGAAATTTGGAATTGCTCCATGGTACAGTCATTTGTTTAACAAGTAGTTACCACATGCATTCTGTGTGCCAGGCACTGTGCTAAGGTTCTGAGAATAAAATGATGCTGAAGTTCTCTAATCATACAGGCTTTCCATTTTAGTGGGTTTGTTGTGGAAACCTCAAATTTGCCAAAAGAACTTTACAATTCAGTTTCTGTTTTAGGGGAAATGCCTCTATAATCCTAGCAGACAGTGGTCCCTGCCCATCCCTGAATGCCCAGGTGCAGGCACTGCCACCACCCTGGCTTGTGCAGCGCTGTCTCTGCAGCTCTGTTCTACAGAGGAAGAAGTGGAGGCTGAGCCAGGATGGCCCTTGGTCCATGTGGCCCCAAGTCCGGTGCCACACACCACACACTGCCAAGAGAGTGGCCTGGGCCCCCATTGGGTGCATGTTAAGCTTTTGCCTTCCCTGCATACTAACCCCCTGGGTTACCCGAGATGTGCCATTTACATAGTTACTGACTGGAACTTAAGTTCTCTGGCAGGGACCTCCTTTTTGGTAGTTGTTGAATTACAGCAGGAGGAAGTGCCTGGAATCGGCTGGTGGAAAGGCTTTGGTGAAAGAGCTCTCCAGAGGAGCGGAAGTTGGGAGTGAGGAAGTAGGTTGTTTGGCTGTGGTGGAAAGGAGGCCAGTGTGGGCAGAAGCCAGGGTGCAGTTCCCCATGGCCTGGAGGCTGTGAGCTCCGCGATCCACTCACATGCTGCTGGTGTCTCCTTGACCAGACAGACCCCTTTGGGTTCTGCACTCTTGTCTGCTAAAACTGCTTTTTCTCCTTTCCTTTAGCCTCTGGCTTAGTATCCACTGGGTTCACAGAATCAGGTTGGGTTGTTATGTGGAGGAATGACTTTAGTAGCAGCGTGTAGGACTGATTTTTATAAACACAAAAAGTCCCCAATGTTTTCAGTGTGTGATACGTGCCAGTGCCAGGCCTTGAGCTAAGCTCTTTGTGTACAGAGCCTCACTGTTTCTCGTTGCAGCAGGTCATAGTTCGAACATTTAGCCCCTTTTACAGACTGAGAGTGCCCCCAGGGAGCCACCAAGTCAGTATCGAGGGCTCAAATGAAACCCTTGTGCCTTGGCCTCTCAGCAGGTTTCTTCTGGCAACTCCTCACTCCCCTTCCTGCTGGGCTGATGACCTGGCTCCTCCTCCTTGTTTACTGGGCACTCTCGGGTGGGCCCCCCCATTATCCCGCAAGACCAGGCTCTGTCCTGGGCATTGGCTTGCCCATACTGTGTTGTGGACTGGCCACTCCCCACACCCAGCTGCTGGTGTTGCCACCTAGACTTCTCATAGGCAGCCCCTCCCTCCCTCCTTCCCACCAGTTCCCAAACCCACTCAGTCTTTCCCTCCCCAACCTTCCCTGGCCCTTAGATTAAGGCTGCCCTGAGTTATGCCAGCTAATAGGTCTCACTCTCTTTAGAAGCTTCCAATCCCCATAGGCAAGGAGGTAAGGTGGAGCAGAGGAAGGATAGAGAAATATATGATGAAGCCAAAAAGTTAGTGCCTTGGAGTAAATGCCATGGAGAATTCTGGTTTGTCCTCTTTGCACTGTGTGGGTTGAGTGAGAGCACCGGCATGGGAAGATGCTGGCTAACTCCACACAGATTTAGTCACCAGGTTCCGCCCATTCGCACTGGCAGTGAGGGGCATACCTCTGAACCTTTGGGATTGTTCACTGAGGACAAATGTGGCGGCATTTAGAAAGTATTCCTTGTCCTGGCAGTAGACAAAAGCCACAGGATTTATGGAAAGAGGAAGGAAGGCACAGAACTGGGGCAAAGTTCTGGTTTTGTTTCTGTTTTGTTGTTGTTGTTGTTTATTTGTTTTTCTTTTTTTGAGACAGAGTCTCATGCTTGTCCCCCAGGTAGGAGTGCAATGGCGTGATCTTGGCTCACTGCAGCCTCCACCTCCTGGGTTCAAGTGATTCTCCTGCCTCAGCCTCCCGAGTAGCTGGAATTACAGGTGCCTGCCACCATGCCTGGCTAATTTTTGTATTTCTAGTAGAGATGGGGTTTCACCATGTTGGCCAGGCTGGTCTTGAACTCCTAACTTCAGGTGATCCGCCCGCCTCGGCAACCTAAAGTTTTGGGATTATAGGCCTGAATCACTGCACCCAGCCTTGTTCTGTGTTTTTAAAGCAGATTTGTTCATGCTTGTCAGCTGCAAAAAAGGAAACTGGCAGGAGTTTAGGGAGGGAGAAAAGCCAATGGAGGGACACCCTGGAGTGGAGGCCTCCCTGCTGCCCAGGCAGCTGCTCTGCAGCCCTTGCTGGTCCTGGCCTTCCCCGCAGAGGGCCCTCCCCCAGCTCAGCCCTCTACGTTGGGCTGCAGTACCAGGCTCCCTGGTACATCCTCCCATACCTGGCTGTGGGACAGCCTTGGGGACGTGAAGCATGCTGGGCACCGTGTACCAAGGGCATTCACCTGCCCACACCAGCTGGCTCCAGAGGTGTGCTGCTGCTTTTGTGTCATTATCTTTCAATCCAGTCCCTTCCGAGAAAAGAGAGTTTATCCCAGCAACGTATCTGTTGACCTCACCGGAATTGCCCCACTGTGTCCCATCTGAGCTCTCAGGAGCCAGAACCTGCTGACTCCGGTGTGTCCAGTTGGCCATCCAGTGGCCACTGTCCTTCCAGCTACCTGCCCTCAGCAGTCAGCAAGACGAAGTCTGGAGACCACACTGCCTGTCTGCTCTTGTTCTTTCCTTGTGGCAACAAATTGGGTCCAAGAAAACAGGTGGAGCTAAAAGAGTGGGAACATACGTGCCCCATGGGCTCTTCTCCAGAGGCCTCGCAGGGCCCGGGCTTCCTCCCTCTGTCTTGACGGCACATGGCTGCATCTTCCTGTAACGGTGGGCATGCCTCACGGACTCAGGCTACCAGGTCCAAGCAGGATTCTGTGCTGGGTGCATGCTGGATAACGGTGCCCAGCACAGGGGCCCAGGGGGTGGCATAACCCATGCCACAATCCTCCCTTGGCAGGTGTAAGTAGGCAGTGCCTTCCTCACTAGGGGCTCGTCATTTGACTAGAGAGGCCCTGTTGCCTCCCTGTTCCCTGCTCCAATCCCAGACCTGACATGAGCCCAAGGACTGGGAGTTTTCTTTCTCACCTCTCTGGCTGCCTCCCTAGAGCCTAGAGCCTGTCTTTGGATGAGTCTTTGGGGAGCTGCTTCTCATCCCAGGTGCTGGACTTGGACTGCCTGCCACAAACACCTGGGCACAGGGCCTGGTTTCCTGCTCTCATGCTCTTGGAAATGAATGGGTTCCCTTTGTTTGTTCTTCTTCCCACTAGAAATCTCCCTGCCTCCCATCCTCTGGGCTCTGCTGGCTGCCAGCTGCCAGGGTGAAAGCCGTGTTCCACTGCGCCCTGGGGAGGGCCTCTAGGGGGCACACTGAGTGCTGGAGCCTGGAGCCAGGAACGGTTCCCAGTATATGGGGGGGACTGGGGGGAGCGCGCAGTGCCGCCAGCCTTGCCTGAGGGTTCCTCTGTGGGATGGAGCTCCTTGGACCAGCCTTTCTGCCCTCCCACCTCCTATCTAGCCCACTGTGTTCACCTGCCTTCAGCTCCAGGCTGCTGTGTGGGTCCCTTTCCCAGAAATGCAGTTCATGCCATTGTTGCTGGGGTGTTGATGTTTAACGTGCCTGAGGTCCCTTCATCACTAGGGTGACCTTGAGCAAGTCACTTCCCTCTGAGCTCCCTGTTCCCAACCTGTGACACAGGTGACAGGTGGTGTGCACTTAGAAGCTCTTTCCCTAGCAGGTGTGACATTCTTGTCCTGGGCCCTTTGCTAGTAGCTGTGACACACCGGCGCCCGCGCCCCTGGCCGAATATGACCAGAGAGTGCACAGAGCAGCAGTTCCCCTTGGTCCTTGGCCCTGTGCCCGCTAGGGGCTCATCCTTTGACTGGAGAGGCACTGTTGCCTCCCTGTTTCCTGCTCCAGTCCCAGACCCGACATGAGCCCAAGGGCTGGGAGGTTTCTTTCTCACCTCTCTGGCTGCCTCTCTAGAGCCAGTTCTGTCTTCAGATGAGTCTTTGGGGTGCTGCTTCTCATCCCAGGTGCTGGACTTGGACTGTCTACCACTGACACCTGGGCACAGGGCCTGGCTTCCTGTTCTCGTGCTCTTGGAAATGAAAGGGTGCCCCTAGTTTGTTTTTCTTCCCACTAGAAATCTCCCTGCCTCCCATCCTCTGGGTTCTGCTGGCTGCCAGCTGCCCTGGCCTGGAGCAGCTGAAGAACTGAGATAGACCTAAGTTCTGGGTGGGTGCTTGGGGGTCCCACGGGCGTGGCTGGTGAGATTGCTGCTTCGGGGCCAAAGCGGGTGCTGGGCTTCCTGAGGTTCGAGAGCAGATAAGAACTCTCGAGTGGCAATGAGGGCCGTGTGGTGGCCTTCCCTGCTCGGCGGTCTGCCCAGCCTGCAGCTGCCTTGCTCCTCAGAGAAACGCTGAGCTTTAGGCCGCAGACAAGAGCTGACCATCTCCTAGAAGGGCCAGCTGCTCAGGCACAGCGCCTCTCTGGAAGAGGCGGTCAGAGAGAGGCGAGGGGGAGGGGCCTGACCTTCAAGCAGAAAGAGGTGAGCTTGTGAGACAGCTTTCTGAGGTGCAGGTAGAGAGCAGCAGCAAGTCAGGCACGGGTCAGGAAAGGCAGAGTGGTGACGGGGCTGCTGGGGGCTTTAGAAGGGACCCCACCACAGGGCGGGCCGTGCTCCACAGGGTTGGGCTGAGCGTGGAGCCCGAAGTCTTTACTTCCCACTCCTCGGTGCCGTCTGTGGTTCTCTGTATGGAATTTTCTGGCCTTGGGATTTTGTTGACACCTGGATGAGTCTAGAACATGTGTTCTGGTGTCTGAGACATGCCCTCACTCCCCTTCAGCCAGGACTCTGTGCACCCCAGCACCCTGAATGCACAGGACTTTGGTGGGAGAAACCTCTGTACTTGTTCAACTCAGAATTTTAGCAAATGAAGTCACATCAGTCACAATTCTGACCTTGCTAACCTTTGCGAGAATCACCACGAGCCATTTTGCTCCACTAAGTAGAGCGATGAGGCCCGGCAGGCTGAGGCTGGGGCTCCTGTACTCTGCCCCTCCTCTCCCAGGCAGCGGTGTCTTGATCACAAAGCAGTGGTAACAGTCCATTCCATCGGTTGATGTCCACTGGGCCAGTGGCTTTGGATAGGGACCTCTGACCCAGCCATGCTGGAAGTGCCCTGCTGTGGTCACACCCTGTGCCTTAGCCCCCTACCCCCTGGTCTCCCAGCACACGTGGTTCAGGAGCGGCCTGCACCCAACATCCCTTGCAGCACTGTCAGGCACACCCCATGGAACAGGCAGGACAGAAAGAGCATTCCGCTCCAGGAGCTTGATCCAGGTGGTGCTGAAAGGGCAGTGCCACCCTGCCCTCTGCTGCCTGGTGGGGTGGTGAGGAGGGCAGCATTCTGTTTGTGGGCTCTGGGCCTGGTTCCCAATTTAAGGAGCTTAGAAAGCAGCAGTCCTGTCCCAGTACTCAGAGCACTGTGGTGGAGGTGCTTGGGGAGTTGTGTGAGCTGTGGCCCCAGACAGGTGCTCATGGCCAGAGTGCCCCAGGAGAAGCACTGAGTTGGTCTACAGAAATGGACGGTCCAGGGGCCTGGCTCCTAGGCAGGCTGTGAGGGGATGCTCGGCATGCAGGGGGTTGACTAGGGTGTGGGAAATGCCACCGTGGGCCCATGGGGGCCTCTGAAGCTAGTAGGGCCTTCAGGGTTCCCCCAGTGTGACAAGGCAGCCCTCTTTGCTGAGAGTCCCTCTAGGGGAGGCCATTCACCCGGGTCTGGCAGGCAGCTGTCCTCCCCATCAAAACTGCCATCTGTGCTCCACCCCAGGAAGGTGTGGGTGTTTCACACATGCTTGTCCCTGATGCCTGGGTGGTGTGGTTTCATCCCTAGAGTTTACGGATGAAGACAGTGGTGTCCCTTGTGCAGACAATGGGCTGATTGATCTTATTTGTATCGTGCCCAATAAGGCCTGGGGAGCAGAGCAGCAGCCTTGCTCTGCAGACACACAGGGCCTCAGAGGACTCAGGTGCACGCCTGCATGGCAGAACCAGGCTCTGGGCCCAGGTGTCTTTGACACTGAGTAGCTCGCCTCTCCCAGGGGCACTGGTGTGGGCTGATACCAGTGCCACCATGGGTGTGTGTGTGGCTCCCTGGGCCACCTCACTCCAATTAAGCAGGTCCAGGTGGGACACAGCCTGGGACCAGCCCTGCAGCTGCATGTGTTAACCAAAGAGATGGCCACGGCCACCGGGATTGTCCTTGGTGCAGTCAGCCTGTGGGCTGCGGGGGCTTGTGGAAGCATGTGGGAAGACAGTCCCACTGGTCAGCAGAGCAAGGTCCTCACCAACCCACAAAGGAGCACGTCACAGGACAGGCAGGCGTGGCAGGGAAGGCCAGGCTAGTGCCAGCCGAGGGCATTACCTCCCAGACTGCCCTTTTCCTCACACATCTATGACACAGCCCTCAAAGCCTGTGTCTCTGTGGGCCCCTGGCCAAGGAGCAAGGGCTGCCCTGCGTGGCCCCCCTGCCAGTTCCTTGGTCACCTCATGCTGTGTGCCATGCTGGGGGATGTGCCTGTGTGTATGTCCTGGTGGCATTTGGATGAAGACACAGGTGTGTGGTGAGGCTGTGCAGGAGGACGGACCTGTGTGTGAGGTGGGCAGGTGGTGTGGAGGTGGGCGGGCGTGTGGCAGTGCGCCAGCTGAGCCCCTCCACTTCCAGGTCAGCCAGAGCAGCCTCCCCATGCTGTCCTCGCCATCACCGGGCCAGCAGGTGCAGACCCCACAGTCGATGCCCCCTCCCCCGCAGCCATCCCCGCAGCCTGGCCAGCCCGGCTCACAGCCCAACTCCAACGTCAGGTAGGCCTGGCCTGGGGTGTCCCTCCCCGCCTGGACCTCAAGGCTGGCCCTGCCTGGACCCCAGCTCACATGTTTCTCTCACTTGTCTGCAGCTCCGGCCCTGCCCCGTCCCCCAGTAGCTTCCTGCCCAGCCCTTCACCACAGCCCTCCCAGAGCCCAGTGACGGCGCGGACCCCACAGAACTTCAGTGTCCCCTCACCTGGACCTTTAAACACACCTGGTAAGTTGGGCCTGGGGTCCATGGCCCCATCGTGTGACCTGTACTCGGCCTGGTGGGTTGAGGTGCTGAGGTCACCGCTCACCGTTATGAGGCCTCAGCTCATACTGGGTGTGCGAGCTCTGGGGCCCTCAGAGCTCACGCTCCCCGCCTGAGGGTCGAGTGGCCTCACCCACCTGTGTCCTGCAGTGAACCCCAGCTCTGTCATGAGCCCAGCCGGCTCCAGCCAGGCCGAGGAGCAGCAGTACCTGGACAAGCTGAAGCAGCTGTCCAAGTACATCGAGCCCCTGCGTCGCATGATCAACAAGATCGACAAGAACGAAGGTGGGCTGCGGCCGGGGCAGGGCCTGCACCCTGGGGACACTGCCGGGCTTGTGTCTTAGTGTCCTCTCTTCTGTCCCAGACAGAAAAAAGGACCTGAGTAAGATGAAGAGCCTTCTGGATATTCTGACAGATCCCTCGAAGCGGTGAGCTTTGCACACAGCCCACGGAGGGTCCACAGGGGCATGGATAGCCCAGCCATGGATGAGCACTTGGTGATGATGTGGATTTAGCAAAGGCACCGGGCAGCTCTTTGAGCCCTGGCCAGAGGCCTCCAAGGCTCCACTCTGGTGTGTGCTGAGGCTTCAAGCCCAGGCTTCATCTTGGCCAGTGCCCAGCCTTTGCCCTACTCCTGGCCGCTGCTGTGGCCCTCATGCTGGGCCATCACAGCCAGACCTCACCAGCCAGCAGCCAGGGGCCCAGCTTGCAGTGGCCTCACCATCAGCTGGCCTGATGGGCCTGAGCCTGACCTGGAGTTCTGCCCCTGACTTGCCGGTGACCATGGGCAGGCGACTGCATCTCAGTTACCCATTTGTAGCTCATGTGTGCTGTCTTGAAAATGAAACAAGATGGCTCTGGTGAGAAGCAGGTGGAAGGCAGGGCCACTGGCCACGGTGCTGTGAGGATCAGTGCTCGGGCAGTGCCTCCAAACTGCATGGGCACTGGCATATACCTCCCTCTCACCTCAACTCAGGCTGTTCCCCCCACCCCTGTCTAGAAGGGTCTCTCTGTTCTGCTTGTCTGGATAGAATGCCAGTCACTATTGGGTGGTCCTCCAGGCCTTCATGGGTTGATCCTTTGTTAGGGTTATAGGGATGAGCGGGGCAGGGACTGGCCTACATGAGAATGAGGCATTCCCAGCCTAATGAGGGGCCTGGCCACTGTCCCTTCTCTTGCCCCATCGCCTCACTCTGCCAACCAGGGACAAGCAACTCCTGGGTTTGAGGGCTGCCTGCCTTCAACTCTGGGTCTGGGAACAGCCAGTCAACTGGTAGGAGCTCCTGCAGAGGAGGTTTCTGATGGCCAAGGCCCAGTGGCAGTGGTTGGGATCCCAGCCTGAGAGCTGCCATGTCTCCCACTCTTCCAGCACAGAGGTCAGCCCAAGTCCTCTCTCTCTGCAGGTGTCCCCTGAAGACGTTGCAAAAGTGTGAGATCGCCCTGGAGAAACTCAAGAATGACATGGCGGTGGTGAGTGGGATGCCAGACACCCCTAGGGGAACCAGGGCTCCCCCAAGAGCTCCTGAGAGCACCGCTGGGATGGTCCTTCAAGGTCAGGGCATCTGGGTGGGGGCTGGGCCTGACCTTGGACCCTGCCCACGAGGCTTCCAGGCCAGGTCTGCTGTGCTGGATGGGAGCATGGGAGAAGTCACCCTCTGTCTATGGCCCCCATGGGTGCCTCCTCCACCCAGTTCAGAGGAGGCAGGGACTGTAGGGAAGACAGGCTGTAGGGGTGGGGGATTATTCCCAGAATCAGCCAACATTGTCTGCACAAGGGTGGAGGCTGTGAGAGGGGCCTCAGGAATCTGGCTGTGAGTGACAACGGGCCTGGGGTGTGAAAGCCCCCTAAATGGGGAACCCTCGGGTCCTGGGCTGCTGACCGTGCCCATCCTGCCTCCAGCCCACTCCCCCACCGCCCCCGGTGCCACCGACCAAACAGCAGTACCTATGCCAGCCGCTCCTGGACGCCGTCCTGGCCAACATCCGCTCACCTGTCTTCAACCATTCCCTGTACCGCACATTCGTTCCAGCCATGACCGCCATTCACGGCCCACCCATCACGTACGTCCAGCTGGGCTGGGCTTCGCGGAGGGCGGCCAGCCCTGGGCCGCGTGTGCCCGGTGTGGTCACCATGCCGCCTCCCCAGGGCCCCGGTGGTGTGCACCCGGAAGCGCAGGCTTGAGGATGATGAGCGGCAGAGCATCCCCAGTGTGCTCCAGGGCGAGGTGGCCAGGCTGGACCCCAAGTTCCTAGTAAACCTGGACCCTTCTCACTGCAGCAACAATGGCACTGTCCACCTGATCTGCAAGCTGGGTGAGTGTCCAGAGGGCTGGGGCTGGCATGGGAAAGCAGGCCCTGACTGCAGCCCCAGGACTCTGCCATCTGAGCCAGAGGGCACAGCGCCCAGAACCCCCCCTGCATTCACGCCCCGCCAGGCTGTCTGCTCTATCCTCATACACACCGGGCCCCAGACAGCCTGATGATGCCTCAGTCCTCACTGCCAAAGCCCGCACACTCTCACCTCCCCAACACAGATGTGGCTCTGGGGCCCTAGGGAGGTGGTAGGCAGGACCTCTGGGCACCCATCGATGCAGGGCACTCCAGGCTTCATGTTTGGAAATCTGAGAGTCAGAGAGACCTCTTCCAGGCTTTGCCACAAGCCTCACCGGAACCTCCCAGGGTGTGAAGAGTCCTGTTCCAGAGCAGGGCTGTGAGGCAAGGCAGGCTGGGGCTTGTTCAGGTCACAGATACAGCCTTCTGTGTTGCAGATGACAAGGACCTCCCGAGTGTGCCACCGCTGGAGCTCAGTGTGCCCGCTGACTATCCTGCCCAAAGCCCGCTGTGGATCGACCGGCAGTGGCAGTACGGTAGGTAGACCCAGAGGAGCTGTCTGGGGACCCAGGGCAAGCAGGGGTCATTGTGGAAAACCAGGCTTCCACTGCAGCGGGGACAGCCGCTCTGCGCTCCTGCCCCTCTCCAGCTCAAGCCCCTCCCTCACCTCTTCTGGCTCCTCCTGCACAGACAGGAGCGGGTTGTCCAGTGGTCACCTGAGAGGAAAGGGTCTCTGCTCCCACTGTGTCCCTTTGCCCTTTCAACTTGTGTCAGGTCAACTGTCCAGGGTGGTTGTGTTCAGTGGGTGAGGGATGAGTAAGCCCATGGCTCAAGGACAGACCCTGCTCTTCCCGGAGGCCACTAGCTTCCCAGAGGCCACTACCTTGGCGGGGCTGATGGGTCCCACCGGCAGCTTGAGCGCACAGGGCCCCATCTGGGTGATGTGGCTCCAGAGAGAACTACGGTGGCAGGGGGCAGTCTCCCTGAGCCCAGAGCTGGCACAGCAGAGCTGGGCTGGGTCCCCAAGGTTGTTAGAGGCAGAGCGCTAGATCCTGTTCAGATTCAGTTCTTCACTGACGACGAGGCTCTGGGAGGAGAACCTGAAGGCCGGGCACCATGCAGGACATCACCTCCTGGTGCTTCGGCTGGAGCCTGGGGCTGCCCCTTGCGGAGCACTGCCGGGTATGCCAGGAGCGAGCTCTGCACTGGCTGCCTTAGGTTCACACCTGCTACGTTGTTGCAGACGCCAACCCCTTCCTCCAGTCGGTGCACCGCTGCATGACCTCCAGGCTGCTGCAGCTCCCAGACAAGCACTCGGTCACCGCCTTGCTCAACACCTGGGCCCAGAGCGTCCACCAGGCCTGCCTCTCAGCCGCCTAGCCATAACTGCAGGGATGGCCCACAGCCTCATCGGGGCCAAGGACACATGCCTCCTGTCAGACACTTCTAGGTGTTGGCTTCCTTAGAGAGCCTGGGGTTAGGTTAGCTTTCCTGCTTTTATCTTCTGCCTTGGGGACCTGCCAAACGAAATCCCACACCTGTACAGAACTGGGATAGGCGCAGTGGAGCGGGCTGCTTGGGGGGCGTTGGCCGACTTCTTAGAGAAGGCCCTCCATGTGACTTCCTCCAAGGAGCCAGATGCGATCCTCGGGCTGCTCTCACCGTGGCCTGTCCAGGGTCCAGGTCCATCTCAGCAGCGTGAGGGTGCACTCAGGGTGTTTAGAGCATCTTGTGTGTGCTAGACACACTGCTACTCGTTTCTATAGGAGAACACAGAGGACATAGGAAACCCTTAAAACACACATGGGATTCTCTGGTCACAGTTTTGGGTTCAGGCTATGCTGCTTTGGGCAGGTGCAGCACCCCCCAGGGAAGCCCCCAAGTCCAGGGCACAGGCTGCCTTTTGGAGGGAGTGCTGGCCCATGGGTGCTGCCGGCTTCCTGCCACCAGCTGGGCCTCAGCCCTCACGGCATTCCTGCTGAGCACTGTGGAGCACCCAGGGAGCAGGGACATCGGGGGTCCTGCTGCTGGCACCCCTGCACCGCTGGCATGAGGGCCATGTCCCCACTGTGAAGGATGAAGAGCAAGGCCCTCGGGACCCGCGTCCTCAGAGCACCACACACTGAGCCACCCAGAGAGAATGGGCCTGGCAGCGGGCCGGGGCCATGCGGGGAGTGCCTCCCTGTGTTGCCTGCCACTCTGGGCACTGGCCAGCAGCCCTCTGGTGAGAAGAGGTCCCCCCTTTTTATGTGCACTACCCCACCATCTGTGATTATAATAAATTTATTATTCCCGTGTTTGCCAGTTGTTCATCACTGTGTCCCCTTCTCCATGAATCTGGGCTCGCTGTCCTGTCAGGATGCTGTCAGCCTTGGGGCTGGCAGTGTCCAGTCTGGCCCTGGACACCCTGGACCTCAGCTCTCCTTGTCTGATACACCATCCCATTCCTTAGCCTAGTTGATCCCCCAGCTTCCTGGCAAAGTTCCTGCTCCCTGAGGTAGGAAAGGGCTGAGATTCATGCCAAGGAAGGGGGGCCATGGTACTGGGAGGACTGTGCTGCCAGGTGAGGGTGGACACTAAGCTGGCCACCCCCAGACAATGGACGCAGCCACAGATGCAGCTGCTGCTGTGGTGGGAGGGGTGGCGCGGGCATGGCCACAGCACTCTGGAGATGGCCCTCCAGGAAGGAAGATGAGCTTGGCTGGACCCCCTGTCAGCGGTGTTTTGTCAGGGCAGGAGAAGATGGCATCTTGCCCCCAGGAGCATGCAGTCTGGGCAGGAGACCCAGGCTGATCTGTGTTTCGAAGGCAGCTCTGGCCCAGCTGGGGGACCAGGAAAGCCCTCCCACCTCCAGGGAGAGTGGGCGCAGCTCTGGCAACGCTTCTCTTCCAGGGCAGCTGCCAGGTCCCAGGATGAGCAAGACTTGGCTGGCCAGGCAGGTCCCTGCAGATAGCAGGGGCCGGACTAGGGACCAGGGGCCGGGAAGGGACGCCTGATAGTGAGGATCCAAGCACATGACTTGGAAAGAAACAAGCTTTATTTTTAGTCTTCAGCAGGTAAGGTTTTACTTCATCATGTGCTTTTGTGTAAATGCCAAATACCGAAATAATAGCTAGAAAACAAACTAGCTGTTGTTTTGTCAGTTTGGAGATCAAATACTTTATCTTGAGTCATTTATCTTGGAATTTAGCCAGGCTTAAAAGTAGTAGAATTACCAGGAAATGCTATAGAGAGCCAGAATCCACTTGGAGGTTGGTGGGCCTGGCAGTGGAAAGCTGTGGGTGCAGATGCGGGTATCTCAAAGGCCCTGAGCGGTGCAGGTGCTTGGTCCACATTGCCTGAAGCCTCTTCTGCTGAGAGACAAAGGTGTTCTTCAGGGTTGGCTTCAATGCAGGCAAGATGACAAGTGCTACCACAGCCAAGGGGCTCAGAAGCAGCTGGGGGTGAGTAGAGGGACTGTCACCTTGAGCATCCTCAGGAGTGGTGTGTGCTGGGAGTCGGGCCTGTGTGGCCCTCACCAGGGCCCAGTGAGGCCAGGGCCTGCTCTGCTTCTGTGCTCCCTCCCTCCCTTCCCCACTCCTTCCCTGGCACCCAGGCAGAAAAAGAGACAGAGGCAAGTTTCAGAGCAGGAGCGGAAGTTTATTTTAAAAAGTTTTAGAACAGGAAAGAAAGGAAAGTATTCTTGGAAGAGACCTAAGCAGCATATAAAGGTCAAGTGCGGTGTTTAACCTTGATCCTAGCACTTTATAGACTGGCCCATTTCCCATCATTCTTTCCCTAGGGTGGGCTGCTTACATGCACAGTGCCCTCCTTGCCCTTGGAAGGTGAGCGTACGCAGTGTGTTTAGGAAACTGTACGTATGCCTATTTGAGGCTTTCTTCCTTTTTCTGGTGGGGTGCCCCCAGAAAGTCATACTCTGCCATTTTGTCTCGTAATACACATGGCCAGGAAATTGCTTCTCCCTTGTGCCTGCATTCAATTAACACTTTAGTGAAACAGGTGTGACCCATCAGGAACTGGCCTCTCCCTGGTGCCAGGTGCCAATTTATAACTCTCATTTTTTATTTATTTATTTATTTTTTAGAAGGAGTCTCACTGTCACCCAGGCTAGAGAGCAGTGGCATGATCTTGGCTCACTGTAACCTCTGCCTCCCAGGTTCAAGTGATTCTCCTGCCTCAGCCTTCTGAGTAGCTGGGATTAGAGGCATGCACCACCACGCCTGGCTAATTTTTGTATTTTTAGTAGAGATGAGGTTTCACCATGTTGGCCAGGCTAGTCTAGAACTCCTGATGTCAAGTGACCTACCCACCTTGACCTCAGAAAGTGCTGGGATTACAGGCATGAGACACCATGCTCGGTCCTGGCTTTTTGTTGTTAATTGTTTTTTGAGACAGTGTCTCACTCTGTAGCCCAGGCTGGAGTGCAGTAGTGCGATCACTACTCACTGCAGCCTTAACCTTCTGGGCTCAAGTGATCCTCCTGCCTCAATCTCATAAGTAGCTGGGACCACAGGCATGCACCATCCTACCCAGCATTTTTTTTTTTTTTTGAGATGGAGTCTTGCTCTGCCACCCAGGCTGAAAAGTGCAGTGGTGTGATCTCACCTCACTGCAAGCTCCGCCTCCCGGGTTCACGCCATTCTCCTGCCTCAGCCTCCAGAGCAGCTGGGACCACAGGCACCCGCCACCACGCCAGGCTAATTTTTTGTATTTTTAGTAGAGATGGGGTTTCACCATGCTAGCCAGGATGGTCTCAATCTGACCTCATGATCCACCCCGCTCAGCCTCCCAAAATGCTGGGATTACAGGCGTGAGCCACTGCACCCCACCGCTAATTTTTTATTTTTTATTGTTTGTAGAGACGGGGTCTCCCCATGTTGCCTAGGCTTTTTTGTTTGTTTGTTTAAACAGAGACAGGGTCTTGCTATGTTGTCCAGGCTGGTCTTGAACTCCTGGGTTCAAGCAGTCCTCCCATCTTGGTTTCCCAAAATGCTAGGATTACAGGCATGAACCACCAGGCCCAGTCTCCATTGTGAATCTTTTTTTTTCGAGACCGAGTTTTGCTCTTGTTGCCCAGGCTGGAGTGCAATGGTGCAATTTTGGCTCACCACAACCTCTGCCTCCCAGGTTCAAGCGATTCTCATGCCTCAGCCTCCTGAGTAGCTGGGATTACAGGCGTGCGCCACCACACCCAGCTAATATTTTTTATTTTTAGTAGAGATGGGGTTTCACCGTGTTAACCAGGATGGTCTTGATCTCCTGACCTCATGATCCACCCGCCTCGGCCTCCCAAAGTGCTGGGATTACAGGCGTGAGCCACCATGCCCAGCTTACCTTTTGAATCTTTTTTTTTTTTTTTTTTTTTTTTTTTTGGAGACAGAGTCTCACTCTGTCGCCTAGGCTGGAGTGCAGTGGCATGATCTCGGCTCACTGCAAGCTCCGCCTCCCAGGTTCACGCCATTCTCCTGCCTCAGCTTCCCAAGGAGCTGGCACTACAGACACCCACCACCACGCCCAGCTTATTTTTTGTATTTTTTAGTAGAGACGGAGTTGCCCTGTGTTAGCCAGGATGGTCTCGATCTCCTGACCTCGTGATCCGCCCGCCTCGGCCTCCCAAAGTGCTGGAATTACAGGCATGAGCCACCACGCCCAGCTTACCATTTTGATTTTTTTTGAACAGTCTCACGCGTTCAGCTGGAGTCAGTGCCATCGGCTCCCAGCTCCGCCCCCGGTTGCATTCCTCTCGCCTCCTGATGCTAAGGCGGGCCGTGGTGAGAGGGGTCCTGTGTTCGATTCTGACTGGAGGCCTCGGCCCAAGTGCTGGGATTACTTGCCACGCGGCCCATCTTAAGAGGAGAAAGTCTGGTTCTCTGGAAGGCCTGGGTAGCTTTTCTCCTGAGCATCTTGAGAAAAAAGTGCTCTGAGCACTCCTTGGGAAGTCCGAGTCAGCACATGCAGCCAGGTGGGTGCTCCCTGGCTGCTCTCCCAGAGGTCAGCATAGCTGGAGGGAGGAGGCTGCAGATGCGTTGAAGTCAGGAAGACCCAACAGTGGAGAGAGAAGTTGCTGGTGACACCCTCGGCTTGACGCTGCGCTCCCCTGGGCTGGGCTGGGTTCAAAAGGCCTCCAACCCTCCGAAGTGCCAGCCTTTTGCTGTGGCTGAAAAGCATTTGCTCCTCCTCTTCCTCTCACTTTTTTGCATTCTTCCTACCTCTTAAGTGCATACAAAGATTCACATGGATATTAAAGTCAATGGTGATTTTCATAGCTGGAATACTCGTTGGGAGAAAGTAGGAATTGCTTTTTTTTTTTTTTTTTTTTTTTTTTTTGAGACAGGTCTCTCACTCTGTTGCCCGGGCTGGAGTGCAGTGATGCAATCTTGGCTCACTGCAGCCTCCATCTCCCATGCTCAAGTGATCCTCCCACCTCAGCCTTCTGAGTAGCTGGGACCACAGGTGTGAGCCTCCATGGCTTGGCTAATTTTTTGTATTTTTTAGTAGAGATGGGGTTTCGCCATGTTGCCCAGGCTGGTCTCAAACTCCTGAGCTCAGGCGATCCAGCTGCCTCGGCCTTCCAAAGTTCTGGGATTACAGGCGTGAGCCACTGTGCCTGGCCAAAAGTAGAAATTCTTGATTGGGAAACAATTTGATTTCTTTTGGCCCCTTCCCATTTGAGAAAATTGTGCTGAGGATTCTGGTTTGAGAGTGAAGGGAAGCTAGCTTAATTTTTAAAGTGAAGGCTACATGAGTCCTCTCTCCAGAGTGGTGGCTCACACCTGTAAACCCAGCGCTTTGGGATAAAGAAGCTGGCAGATCACTTGAGCCCAGGAGTTTAAGAACAGCCTGGCAACGTAGTGAGACCCTATCTCTACAAAAAAAATTTAAAAATTAGCAGTGTGTGGTGGTGTGTGCCTGTAGTCCTGGCTACTTGGGATGCTGAGGTGGGAGGATTGCTTGAGCCCAGAAGTTGGAGGCTGCAGTGAGCCATGATGGTGCATTGCACTCCAGCCTGGGCAATATAGCGAGAACTTGTCTCAGAAAAATACAAAGAGTCCTCTCTCATTTATGTTGGAAATGTCAGGGTTATTGGCCATTTAGGGGATCTAACTTGCTCTTGGATGTCCAAGAGGAAAGGTATCGATTTCTCCTGATTGCACAGGGCCTCTTCTGGTGGGTCACCTGCACGAGGTGACCAGAATCTGAGTCACCTCGGGTCATGCGGGTGCTGGTACATCCTAGAGACAGGATGTGTTGGTCATGGAAGAGAGTGGGCCACAAATGGGTTCCACGGCAACAGCGTTG